CTTGAACAACAGCCGTGCCAACCTACCAGGCAACTGGCTATACTCTACCAGAAAGACAGAGCCTCCAACAAGTAAGCAAGCAGGAACCTAAGTTCCCTCAGTTCAACGCCAGAGCAGAGGAGTTCAGACCAAGCCAACAAGGTCCCTTGCACGTGGCTTGGCAAAATGCCCTCAGCCAACAATGCGCTGAAGGAAGTTACCAGCCAGCCATGTCGCACGTCCCCACTCCCGGAAGGGATCCACCACCTCCACCAAGCTATAGCCCGCACACAGGATCGATGTATCCCCCAATGTATATTGGAAGAAGGTTGGACTTGGTAGCCAGAGGGGTACGGAAATTCTCAGTCAAAGCTGGAAGAGACTACTTGTTGTGGAAACATATCTTCAAGCACGCCATTAACAAAGAAAAGGCTGGGCCAGACGAGGAACTTATTCAGCTGACAGCATGGTTAGGCCCAGAATCTGTAAACACTGTGAACGACATCTTCGCATCCCATTTGGGCGACTCCAACATTGGCCTTGCAGAGGCTTGGGCCGCACTTGACGAGGACTATGGTGATCCCTCAGTGACGGAGTCCTCGCTTCTAGACTGCGTTCTCAATTTCCCCGACATAAGAATCAATGACCGCCAACAGCTGAAGACTTTCTCATCACTCATTACTCAACTACGGTCAGCACAACAGGATCCTACCTTGCCGGGATTAGCTTGCCTCGACCTGCTTAGAATACAAACTCCTATCATCCCCAAACTACCACAGTTGATATGTGAACAATGGATCGAGTTTTCTCAAACTTACGGGGAAGACAACCAAAACAAAATTCCCCCCTTTGCGGTTCTCGCTAAATTTATCAGCAAGAAGGCTAAACTCCACAATGACCCCCAGTACCTTCCCGTCAGAGAAGCACACTATCCGACGACCGGGTGAAGCAGTCACAGCCCTGATGTAACCAAGGGATCTGTCCAAGCTACGGACAGAACCACCCCTTCGGTGTATAAAACAGACATCATGCCTCCCCCAAAGAAGTCTCCAGACGAACGAATACCGAGAAACGTTCTTTCGAATCCGCATTCAACTACAAACGGCCTGACTTGCCCAATGCACAAGTCTTTTCACTCTCTAAATGATTGCAGAGAATTTAGGAAAAAATCCCTAGATGACCGAAAGACCCTACTCAAAGAGAATAGGATATGTTTCAAATGCTGTGACTCTATGGATCACACAGCCAAAGACTGCACAGCTAAGGTGAAATGCCACCTGTGCAACAGTGATAGGCACCCAGCAGCCTTACACCTAGAACCTAAGATGCTGCCTAAGGAGTCATGACAAGCAACTAGCTATACACCAGACTAATCACCAACCTAGTCCTGTTGCTAAAGAAGACCAACTTGGAAAATTGAACCTCTTCAGTTCCAGCTGTTGTTCTTGATTCTTTAGCTCCAGCTGTTCCTGAGTTTCCAGATGTTCCTGATTCTGATTCTTCAGTCCAGCTGTTCCTGTGTTTCCAGATTCAGCTGTTTATGTCTTTCCAGATTCTTCAGTTCCTGAGTATCCTGTGAATCCAGGTCCCCTCATTCCCGAGAAGCTTGGGTTCCAGTTTTTTCTGTTCCAGATTTGGTTCCAGTTTCCTTCACAGGAAAAAGACCTTGTCTCACTGGGAGACGAGACTGCATACCAGATCTATTGGCCCATGGGACTTGTGCACCGGGCCCACCCACGTGATGAACTAGTTTGCCCAGCCGAGGTCCAGATCGTGAAGCCATGTGACTCTGGTCGTGACTCAAAGATACTTGTACCAGGCTGATCACCAATTTGTTCCCGTTGCTGATGAAGACTAAACCAGAAGATCAAACCTCAAACTATGTATTGTCTTATGCATTGTTTGATGTAACACTTGCCTATTTCATAATTGTGCATGTTTTATATTTACCAATAGTTATGCATGTTTGATACTAGGTTTTTACCTATTTAGTCACAAGTTAGTTAACAATAAGTAGTGCATGCCTTGACGCTATGTTTTTACTATTTTAGTAGTGGAAGTATAAATTTCCAAGCGGGGAGTATTCTGGAACATATATGTAGCCCTAACTAGAGAGCAGGTATCAGTGTATTGGAGTGTCTGGCAGTTATTGGGTTAAATGCTACGTATGTTGATGGGTCAGTCGGAGGAGTATCAAAGGTCATTGAGAGACTACCTGGACACAAGCCAGATGGGATCCTTTGTTCACCAGCCACATGGTTCCTAGCCACACGGTTAGGAGATCCTCACAAACATGTGACACTCAGGAAGAGAAGAGGGGAAAATCCAATGTCTCAATTTACCTGGGGAATAAACCAATATTGCAAAGTATGTTTCTGGATGGATCTACATAACAGTGAGTTATTATTTAGAATTCCTAGAAATAAAAGCAATATTTTCTGTTTATTCTTCTGAATTATCTATCTGTTTGGATTGGACAGAAAGCAACCTGTTCAGTTTGGAACAGAATAATACATAAATGTTAAAGCAAATGTTAGCAAAGGACAAAAGGACAAGATCAGTTGTGCTATTCAATCAGGATCAGCGATGTCTATTCACTTTTTGCATTCCAATTTGTCAGAAGAGCACGTGTTGGCATAAACTCAAACACAAGTTAACAAACTGGCAAAGGCATACCAAAGCGGTGTAGGAATGACGTTTAAAATGTCTAAAACATAGCTAGAGCACAACACAAAAGTTGAGGACGGATTTATTGGAGCTATTTTGCCCATGCTCGCTACCATAGGCAAGTTTCTTCTATCAAGCATATTACCATCATTCATTACTGGGACATTAACAGGTTTACAGGCAGTAAACTTATCAATGGATCTGCAATTTACATCAAAAAGGGAGGTTCTGTATGTATTATTGTCCCACATGGTTCTGGATTGTATCTTCAAACATACCAGAAGGGATCGAGAATAACGGATGATGGACTCTTCCTCAAATCTAGAAGCGGCAGTTTTGTTCCAGTTACTGCATCTGGATTGATAACCGGTGATTCACAAATTTTAAGAGCTATTTGAACATGCCGCTGATAGGTTGGTTGCCTTCAATGATAATCTAATATTAATAAAATGCCGAGATAATATGGAATGCCAGTATACAAGTTTATTCACAAATACAAATGCCCACCGCCAGCCCATCAGATGGCAAGAGAATTACTATGGGATGGATCAACTTCATTATACAGAGCAACATCTCCCCGGCAGAATTCAAATATTTCTTCCCAATCATGGTGTTCGATGTAAGCAGAGCGAAAGACTAAAATTGTCAGTTGTAGACATTCAAATCAAGGCGACATTCTATGAGGTACCAGCTGCAACAGAAGCTTTTGTGGTGGTTGTTTCAGACAGGATGCTAAACTTTCAATCTGATGGGTAAAAGATGTCGGTAGTATACTGAGATTGCTACTGTTATTGGGTTTCCAAACCTAAATAGGGTTTGAAAACATTACAGTTTCTCTGTCAATGAGACAATCAGGTTCAAATTATCAGCATCATTATGATTCTGTGCCATAACTTTAATGAAGGTATAGGTTTAATGTGTGGAATAGGTTTAATGTGTGGCTAAACTGGAACTGATTTCTAATAAAACCTACAATTAAATTCAATACAGTCTCATGAACTATTGCAAATGTTTGCTGCTTTACTGCTTTACTGAAAAGCAAAAGGCTCCAGGAGGCAGATTTAAGATAAATAATATCAGTAGTGTTTTCAAACAACGAGCTAACGCCCAGTTTGCAAATGGCGTTTAGGCTGACTGACTGCCAGGTTGATAGCAGGCTAGAAGATTCAATACTGTCTATGTAGATGTTGCATATGAGCGAAGTATCCACATAGTTTTTTATTGCCACATCTTGACTGTTGCTAGGCTCCGGGAGGAACGTGAGATTGTGGCTGGTCATGCTAACGTCCTTGTGGATCTTTACGTTGGTAGTACCGAGCTGGCACACGTTTTGGTCAGCAGCTTGGACCAGAAATCCATGTGTGGTTTCCAGAGTAATCAGCATCTGCATCATTAGCGGTTCAGCAACGGTAAAGCGCAACCAGTTTTGCAAATTTCCCAGCACAAGGGCGAATCCTTTCCCAGATGTGAGATCTGTACAGTATCGGCTCTGACTATGTTAGAGCCGATACTCAGGTACAGGTCACTGGTCACTTTGTTAGTAGCATCCACATAGCTCTTAGTTGCAACATTTTGTGCATTGGTTGGATCTGCTACATTAACAATCTTATGTGAATCCAAATCAATATCATTGGTTGTAGTGATACCACTGTCGTGTTTTAGAAACATGTTACTAACTTGTGATAAAGTAACTCCTCCGGAAACTATTATTTGAGTCGCTGGTATCTTTTCATCTGAATTTGTCGATGGACATTTTTTTATTTGAAAATAAATTCTTTTAATGCCTTTTAGGGCTCTACTGTTTGCAACACGATGGGTTTTTTTAAGCATTGTATGCTCAAGATTTTTGTATTCTGACTTACAATCCCAAAGAATGTCAACAAGCTTAGTGTGATCTTTCATGATGTATTCTTTAGGAATATAGAACTCATGTTTGGTTAAAGAGAGATAATATGCAAGTGGATTATCTTGCCAAAATATCAACGTTCCTCTACACAAATGCTAAATTATGCAGTTGCTGCTGCCTTGTGATATCGGTTTCTCAATAGCTACATTCCATAAAGAATGGATAGAATTGCATTTTTGTAGATAGAAGAAAAAAAATTTTTATGGTGTGGGGACTTCCCACATTTCTACTACTCAATTGCGCTCGTGTGCAGATGGGTGTGGGAATTTTCCATGATGGGCAGGGCTAATTCTCACATCTCTGCTACTCGTCTGTGGATGGGGCTAATTCTCAAAAGTATGCCAGAGGGCCCACATCTGTACTACTCATGCAACAGGAACTGCCTAAGTAGAAACAATGAATTGTATACTTTAAAACATTTAGCCTTACAAGGAGGACTTTTAATTACCTTTTTATTTCTATTTATACTGAGAAAATAAACACTTTCATTTCCAACAAATGGTGGTCCCCAGGATCGAGTGTCATCCCCAGATCCTAAAAGTAAGAAATGGCTAATGTTAACAAATTTCCAGCAACATTCTGTATACTTATGTGATTACAAATCACATTGCTATCCCAAATTCCAGCTTAAATTATAGCCTTCAAACCTTTAGTGGCCTATAAAAATATTCTTTTTAAATGTCAAAAGTTTTAGTATTGAAAACTATGGCTGCATAAGATTCAGTCCAATTAAATTAATGCAATATGGATGAAGATATTATTAATATAATACAAAAGTATTACAACTTTTTTAGAAAAGCATGTAACTATGTAAGAAAATATTTCTGCATTCACAAAACCTTATGAATCAAGTCCTCAAGATTACACTTCAAAATGTAATCGGTGACTATGCATTTCTAAGTAATCCAGACCCACACAAAATTCTCCTATGCAAAACAAGATCAAACTTGATTAAAGGCCTTCTTTGATATGCTGTTTTCTAGTAAGGATGAAGGTCTAAATTAGGAAATCATTTATGTTTCTGAAGTGCTAAGTTCTAAAAGGTACATATTGAATCTTTAGATTTGTACCCGGAAAATGATGTATTGTGCAGGAACTAATTTATATAGAGAATCACTCACACAGACAACACAAACGATAGATAGATAGATAGATAGATAGATAGATAGATAGATAGATAGATAGATAGATAGATAGATAGATAGATAGATAGATAGATAGATAGGCAGGCAGGCAGGCAGGCAGGCAGGCAGGCAGGCAGGCAGGCAGGCAGGCAGGCAGGCAGGCAGGCAGGCAGGCAGGCAGGCAGGCAGGCAGGCAGGCAGGCAGGCAATAGATAGTAGATAGATAGTGGATAGATAGTGGATGGATGGATGGATGGATGGATGGATGGACAGATAGACCAACATATACAAAGACCAATAGACATAAACAGACAGATAAGAGGCAAAGAATCTTCTGCAATAACAGATATGCGTAATATAAACACCTATAGCAATTACTTCAACATCTGGAATTCTGATAAGCAACACACACACATTTATCATTCCAGAGCAGAAGTCTGGAATGCAGATGTGAAAACTAAAAACAGGTACTGTATTCCTTTTCAGAAGTTAAATGAGAGTTTGTATAGTCATCTATTGCCTGGGGACAGGACTAGGAAACAACATGTATGCATATATTTATTATCTTTTTTAGAGAAAATTAAAGTGGATGTTAATATTATTCAGTTGTTAGGTCCCCAAATCCTTATTGTTTTCTCCACATAGGTGCTCTTCTTTGGGGCCTGGAAGCGATGATGGAGCATGTGCAAAAGACCCTCAATGAATTCAAGGTGTAGCTGAAAGAACGCCCTGAATCGGAGGGAGAGTTGGAGGGTGAATCCGAGGAAGAGGAGGTCTGAGAGATGGCAGGGGCTAGAGCCCTGGCGGCAGCACCGCGGCGAAGCCGTCCATCTCAGGGAACCAGGAACAGACCACATAAACTGGCCGAGGTGAAGCCAATTCCGATCAGAGTGAAGTTTGATGGAGATCTGAAGCGACTGGGGTTTTTCTTGGCACAAGTGTTCACCTACATGCAAATCTATGGGAGAATACTGCCTACCGATGTAGAAAAGGTTTGGGTAGTTACCCTAGCTTTGGAAAGTGGAGCAGCTGATTGGAAGGGGACCCTGTACAACTGCAACGCACCCGAATTGAGGAATTTCAACCGCTTTATGGCTGCTCTCTGCAGACGTTTCGAAGACTGGCTGGCAGACAAAAAAGCCCGGGAGCGCATAAAGACAGTGAAGCAAGGAAGAAGAATAGTGGCTGAGTATATCAAAGAGTTCAGAGAATTGGACAGCCGTCTAAACTGGTAGAAGACATCCTGATAAGCTGTTTCCAGGATGGGCTCAACGAAGAGTTGTACAATGCCTTCATAGCTCATGGAGCCCTGGGACAACTGTATGATTGGTGCCTGCTAGCTGAGGAAGTGGAGATCGATCAACGCAAGCACCTACACTACCCAGTGAGACCAAACTTCAGATTGAAGCCAGAGAAGCGAGGGGAGACCGCTCTAGCTTTGCCTGCCCCACCTCATACCACTGCCTGCTTCAAATGTGGTAAAGAAGGACATCGAGCCATGAATTGCCGCACAAGACATCTGCCAAGAAAGGGGATCGTCTACCAGCTGGAAGACCCCCTAAAATCTCACCGCACCCAGGGAGACTGCGATGAGATCTGAAGAGATCATAGAGCTCCCCCATGGTCGCAACAGAGAGGTCAAGCTCCAACTCCACGCTACGATGACCCAGAAGGGACGGAAAGTGATTACGAAAATGACCCATTGGTGAGTGGGCCAACTGACCCCATAAAAGTGCCCTAGAACTTTCCATACCTGGCACTGGGAGGGCAATAAAATTAGCAGCCTTGCTGGACTCAGGATGCACCCAATGCATGATCAGCCCAGAACTAGTGGGGAAAATGGGGATACCCCTCAGGAAACTAAAAACTCCTATTACTTTTTGTCAAATGGATGGCTTGGTTGTAGGGAGGGTATCTGCCAGTTTTCCTACCAGACCTTTACATATTGACCTGGGGGACCATGCAGAGACTCTAGTGTTTATTGTGGCCCCAGGGATAAAGTGGCCATTAGTTTTGGGACTGGCTTGGCTAAAGAAATGGAACCCCATGAAGGACGGCTAAAATTCTCACAGGAGGAAGCCCCGACCATCTCTAAAGAAAACAGTGGGAGATGTGGATTATGCCACAAATTTGCCTCTGCCCTCAATGAGTCAGACTTGCAGAGCCTCCCAATGGAATACCAAGATCTGGCTGAGGTATTCAGCAAACAAAGTTTAGACAAACTCCCCCCTCATCGACCCACAAACTGTGCTACTGAAATCATTCTAGGGACAAAACTGCCAAAGCCAAAGATGTACTCCATGACTCCCAGGGAGTTGGATGAACTGGGAAAGTTTATCAAAAAGAATTTAGAGCGGGGTTTTATAGAACCAGCTAGACCCTGGGTAGCAGCTCCTATACTATTCAGAGAAAAGAAAGATGGCTCTCATCATCTGTGTGTAGATTATAGAAGTCTGAACACTGTGTGCATGGAAAACTTGTATCCACTACCTTTACTGAAAGACATGTTAGCGCATTTGTCAAAAGGAATTTTTTTTCCTAGCTAGCTAGATTTGAGAGAAGCTTATTACCGCATATGAATAAAGAAAGGGAATAAATAGAAAACTGCCTTCAACTGCCCATTGGGTTGTTTCCAATTTAAAGTCCTCCCTTTTGGACTATAAGGGGCCACTGCAGTATTTATGCAATTAATCAACGAAGTTCTGCATGAACACCTATATAAGAGGTTTTTGGTTTATCTTCTATTTACACAGAAACCAAAGATGAACACATTAAGCTAGTCCGAGCAGTACTGAAAAAACTATGCTCAGCCAAACTGTACACCAAACTGTCAAAGTGTGAATTCTACAAAGATCATATTGATTACTTCGGCTATCGTATATCTAACCAGAGTGTAGAGATGGACCCAGAGAAAGTGAGAGCAGTCTTGGAATGGGCTCCTCGAAAAACTAGGAAACAACTCAAAAGTTTCCTAGGATTTGCGAATTTTTACAGACAATTCATCCCGTCTTTTGCCCAAATTGCCCTTCCAATCACAGACTTGTTAAAAACCAGAGGGGGGGATAAATCGAAACCCAGTCAATCGTTAAAATGGACAGGGGAATGTGAAGCCACTTTTGAGAAACTTAAGAGACTTTTTTCTGTGGAGCCAGTTTTGAAACACCCAAACCCAAAACAACCGTTTATAACTCAAGCTGATGCCAGTGATGTGGCTGTAGGAGCGGTCTTATTACAGAGAAATAAAGAGGGACAATTGCAACCTTGTGCTTACACCTCTAGGAAATTATCAGAGACTGAGCAGAGGTGGGCAGCTTGGGAGAAGGAGGCCTATGCCGTATGATGGGCTCTCCTCACTTGAAGGCATTTCCTGGAAGGGAATAAAATACCGCTTCAAGTATAGACTGATCATAAGAATCCTGAAGTGATGAAAACTCCCAGGAAACTCTCACCCAAACAAGCAAGGTAGTTCCAACACTTCCATCGTTTTGATTTCACTATCCCTTACCTCCCTGGGGAAAAGAATTTTTTAGCAGGTGCATTGTCCAGACTACCACAATAAAACAGCAAGAAAGCAGAAGTGACTAAATCATTTTTACATCTTCATCAATTAGCAGCCCCTGTAACCACCAGGGCCCAGTTAAGATCTGTGGCTCCTATCGGAAAAACTTTGTTGCAGAATTTTAAAACTGCGTTAGAGACCAATGAGTGGTTTTGGAACCATAATAACCTGTGTGTGTTAAAAGATGGATTAGCCTGGATTGCAGGAAAACTTTATGTCCCAGAAGCCCTAAGATTTAAAGTAATGCAAGCAGGGCATGACTTGAAAACTGCTGGACATTTTGGATTTGTTAAAACTTTACATCTCCTTAAGAGGCAATTTTGGTGGCCTGCTTTTAAAAAGGACATAGAAACCTATGTAGCCAGCTGCCCCACATGCGCAACAGCTAAACGCTGGCAAGGGAAATCTCCAGGACTGCTACAACTGGTAGAAGTACGTCAGCATCCTGGAGAAAGATTTCTATGGATTTTATCATGGAACTGCCTGAAAGTGTTGGAAACACTGTAATTTGTGTCGTAATGGGTTTGTTCTCTAGACAAGTTCATTTCATCCCATGCTCTAAGATCCAACTGCAAAGACTTTAGCTAAACTCTTTGTGCAAAACGTATATCGATTTCATGGTGCCCCACAATGCATAATTTCAGACAGAGGGGTTCAATTCACTTCTAAGTTTTGGAAAGTTTTTCTGGACTTGATGGGTTCTAGTCAAGGGCTGTCATCTTCCCATCATCTTCAAATGAATGGGGGGACAGAAAGACTGAACTCAGTTCTAGAACAATACTTGACATGTTTTATTAATTATCAGCAGGACAATTGGTCTGACCTGTTGCCTTTTGCTAAAGTTGCTTATAATAATGCTGTGCATTGCAGTACAGGTTTCACTCCATTTCAAGTAGCTAATGGTTAGACTTTCATAGCCATGCCTGAACTCCCTACCAAGGAACCTGAAATTTCCTCACTGCAGGAATGGATTAAACAGTTGCAGAATACCTGGCCAGTAGTCAGGAAAGTTTTGGATGAAGCCAGAGAAGCCTATAAGGCTCAAGCTGATAAACGGAGAGTGGAGCAAAAGCTATATAAAGTTGGGAACAGGATATACCTCTCCTCAAAGTATTTGCAATCTTTACAACCTTCAAAGAAGTTAGGCCCTAAATTTGTAGGACCTTTCTCTATCAAGCATACCTATGAGGTTGAATTGGACTTGCCAAAAAACCTACAGCAAATCCACCCTGTCTTCCACTGCAGCTTGTTCAAACCGGAGGTTACCTCTAACCTTAGAACTCCTGCACCTCAGGTGCCCACACCTATCACGGTTGAGGATGAACAACACTTTGAAATTAAAGATATCTTGGATTCTCAAAAACATCATGGGGTGACACAGTACCTAGTAGCCTGGAAGGACCTTTCTTTCTCCCAGAATGAGTGGGTGTACAAGAAGCATGTTAGAGCCCCTAGACTTCTCAAACATTTTCATAATAAATATCCTGATAAACCTGATTGATATATCTATATTGCTTCTTTTCCCCTTTCCTTTTTCTGTTTTCTAGATCGATTTCCTGTTCTTCTAGTGAGGGAGGCATATGTCAGGTCCTCAAATCCTTATTGTTTTCCCTGCATAGCTGCTCTTCTTTGGGGCCTGCCATTCTGCTGGGAGGGGGAGGATTTACTTTCGCTTGGGATAACTTTCGCTTTCTGCTTTTCCTCTACCGCCACTTGAAAAAAGACTGTGTCTCCCTTATCAGGGAGACAGCTATGGAGAAAAGAAACTGGAGAAGACCTTGAGATGCATGCCAGCTATGCCAGTTACCCAAACATTGTACCACCTGTGGATTGGCTGGATTTCAAATGGAGACCATGACTTTGGTGGGAGGAGGAAGATTGCTACTTTAACTATACCATTTAGGCAAGCTTTTCCCTAGATCTCGCCTTGACTTCCCTACTGTCACTAATCCCTAATAAAAGTTCCTTTTGAGACAATGCCTGTTTCGAGAGTTCTGCTTTCTTGGATGGTTAGCTGAGGTGAGTCCTTACATCAATCTTTTTTTGAAAAATAGAAAATGCATGCAGAATTTAACAGACAGAATCAGGGGGATGTTTATAATCATTTCCACAAACTGCAGTCACCTATGAGATTTGTAAATAAGGATATATTTCATTTCATCTTTACCATATATGAACAACATATGGCTTTCCAGTTGTTACTAAATGCCAATTACCATTAACTCTTTTGAATATGCTCCAGGCATGTCAAACTCGTGACGTCACATGATGTCGTGTGATGTATTGTGACTTTTTCCCCATTGCCGGCAATGGGTGGGCATGGTTCGGCGTGACACATCCGGCCCACGGGCCGGCAGTTTGACATGCCTGGTCTAGAACTTGTAAAAAAATGTCACCCCATAATAAGTGTCTTTCACATTAAAAATAAACCACTTTTACCTGGTTTTTCCACTTTGATTACTTCAGCTCCAAGATCCCCGAGGTTCATAGTGGCAAAAGGTCCTGCAAGTACTCTGCAATATTTAATAATGAAATTTATGCATGTATGTATAAATTTATTTATTTTATAAGATCTATATGGCCACCTATCTCATATAATTATTCTAGGCAGCTCACAACAATACATAAAACATGGCTAAAAATAAGACAGCCTTTCCCGACACTAGACCAAGAATCCTCTCACATTATAACTCAATACTTGGGGAAGAGCCAGGTGCCCAGGGCCCTCCACATTAGAGATCCTTGGGAGCTCAGGTGGGAGATTGTTCCAAAGGCCTGCAGCAGCCACCAAGGTACATCTCTGAGATCTCATCAAATAGTAACATCTAAGGGAATATACGTGGAATGCATCATTCAATCTAACCTAGTCAATCCAGCAAATAGCAAAAATATTACCATTTTTTTTAAAAAAATCAAGAATTTTTTCAAAAATAAAAAAATAAAGGAGGGAGGGGGAAAGTAAGAAAAATAACAAGAAACAAAAAAAATACAAGAAATGAAGAAAAAAGAAAAAAAAATCAAAATACATTAATTACTTCTGACCTCCTTTCAGCAGATGATTACAATCTTATTCTCCCTCCCCTAAAATGTTATTTTTGTCAAAGACTTTGCTTGAGGCAAGTTAAATCATTCTCAAAAATGCATCCAAAGCAGCACTAACCTTGTTAGATCAAGAATTCTTACACCATCAAGTGGCTTCACTGTATCAGCACCTAGTTATGAATAGAAAAATGCTATTATAATCATCAATTCATTATCAGGTTAATGTCATATTTCAGGGGAAAAAATGTTCACCTTAATTAGCATAATTTGCAACTTCTAAACACACACCATAAAGAACAAATTTCCTCAAAGACCAGAAGCAGGGGAAACCTCTAGCAATTTTGACCACAATTGTCTCTTGTATTGAAAAATATATTTCCTTCTTTTAGAGAGAAAACTTGGTTTTTAATCCAATTCTGCCATCCTTTGGAAAGATGCTTTTATTACATGTGCTAATGTTAAATCTACAGTCAGGCTTTCTTTTGTTTAAATATTTTGAGTGCCTTATTTATCGGGGGGTTGGGGGGAATAGTTTTTCTAGCACAAGAGTATAAATTGGCTAACCTATCAAAGACTTTTAAAAGAATGGGAATATTTGATAAAAAGATTTTTGATTTAGAAAGTAGAATGTTTACTACATTTAAGCATTTGTGTATCAGCGAATGAACATTTTTTTAAATGGAAAATTTAATTGTGCTCAAACCCACATTCATTGTTATATTTTAAAAAATGGGTATTTTTTGATAGGAAGAAGAAAACCAAGAGTAGCTGAAACAGGTAGCTTTATTTGGGGGTGGAGATACAGGCTTTACATTTCTTTTTGCAACTAGGATAAAACCATGTCTTTCACCTAAGCACAGAGATGGGTTCCAGTACTACTGTATTTGATCTAAATTAGGAAACAGGATTTTTCAGGACTAGAAATCTGAAGAGAAAAAAAGATACTTTGGAATGTGTTGCAGGCATGTATGTCAACTTCTTAAACCAAACATTTTTCAGGTAAAATTGTGTTGCAATTGCAAAGTACGTTTTTCCCTTAGAAACTGAACCATTGCATAATTCTGTGTCATATCTTTGATAAAATCCAAGAATACTTGCTCATGTTAGTAATTCAGAGGCAACTCTAGATGCCACCTGAACTTCTTAGATTGTGGTACGACTTAACTCTAGCTTAATTATTCTATTATACACATACAGTCCATTTGAAAACAAAACAGAATTGCCTTTTCCTCTTAACCAATGTACATAATTTCCACTTTGAAATCCAAATTTCTGCCAACATCGTTACCTTTTCTCACCTCTGCTTTCCCTCCTGCTTTTTGTAACATATTATCTGATTAACGAATCTGAAAGTTGTAAAAGTTTAAACATTTTTGTGAACCTTGAGCTAATCTTTATGTATTGCTCTCATATAGATTTTTCTTAAACTCATAACTACTTTAACTTTTTAACATAGTTTTTTTCAAGCATTGATGAAAATTTCCTTCAAATCAGAAAAAAAAAAAGTTTCAAAAACTGAAAGATAGAATCTTCATGCTAGAAATGAAGCAAACTTAAGAAATCCTTTTTGGGTTGCAACTTCCTCCTTTACTTGGGCCTTAGTAATGGCAAGTTATTGTGTCTGAATCATGGTTAACAGAGAAGACATGTGATAGACTTTCCTGATTTTACCCCCTCCCCCATATACCAAAAAAATCAAGTGATAATTGCTTTCCCTTTTTCAGGGAGAGATTTTTGGAGGACTGCTTAAAAAAGAAGACAGCAGTTTTTTGAGTCACCTGAAAGAAAGGAGAAACTTGACAGAACTCTTGTTGATTTTGTCAGCTTAAGCCAAAAAAAAAAAAAAAATGATATTTCAAAGTTCCACTATACTTAAATACTCAAAGAAATAGCCAGCATTTCACTAAACCAAGCAATTTTTTAAAAAAGAAAAGATCCAGCTTTTTATGGAAAGCAGACTGACAGCTCAGTATAAAATGGTTATTCAGAACACAGAGAAGGGACGGGGTGAAAGTGTGAATTGTATAAGAGGACCAGACTGCCCTCTTTATGCCAGTAGAAAGCGTTGAATTACTACTGTTGAAAAAAAGCAATATAATTTCAGAGAAGATCATCTTTCTAGCAGCACAAAGGCAGAATGTGGAAAATGTCATCAATTCCTGTTTCTGCAGAATGGTAAGTGGTCTAGCATTACATTGGAGATTGGAAGAATCTACCTTGTAGATTCTTGTAGAAGAATGGTTAGATCTGGATCCACTGTTAAAATGTAGATCAGCCAACATTTCTAAAGCCAAGAGATGCATATAGCTTCTGAGTTACATACTCGGGAGCAAGAGCATGGCAAATAATTGACAATAATTTTAATTGTTTTTAATTTAAATATATTTAAAGTTAAATATTGCTAATATGGGTATTCTATTCATATTTTATAAATCTTTACTTCTTATACAGTTGGAAAATCTCAATTCAGTGAAACTCTTGAAGGAACTCCAAGAAAAGACCTAACACTTCTTGAGGCTACACGAAACCTGGAGGCCTTAGATTATGTAGTTTTGTATTATAAGGATAGTATGTAGGAGACGTAGTAAAGACCTCTGCCATAGGACTTGCACAGCTTTTCTGATTCTGCTGGAGTACCAGTTTAGATAAACCAGTTTTCTGATTCAATAAGGCAAATTTCATGTATTCTGGTTAATGTAAATGAATCGGTTTAATTGCACCATTGGTAATCACTTAAATCCATTATCAAGCATGGTGACACAGTAGTTAGAATGCAGTATTGCCAGTTAATTCTGCTCACATTGCCAAGAGTTCAATTCCCTCAATCCTGACCGGCTCAAGGTTGATTCAGCCGTCTATCCTTCCAAGATCAGTAAGATGAAGACCCAGATTGTTGGGGGCAATATGCTGACTCTGTAAACGGCTTAGAGAGGACTGTAAAGCTCTATGAAGCAGTATGTAAGTCTAAGTGCTGTTGCTATTGTTATCCTCTGCCTCTCTCCAAAAGAAACTCCAGCCTTATTGTTCTGGAAATAGATAAAATAGAGACCTATAAGTGAGCTGTTTAAATTCCTATAGGAAAAGTGGGAATAAAAATTAATAAAATAATAAAATTAATAATCAAGTCATGTTAAGAATGTCAGTCTCTATTACAAAGTGCAGTGCTGTAAAGATTCCCACAATCCAAAATCAGCTCCTGATGACTTCAAGGTTGCATAAGTCCATAACTGCTTTCTTTTCAGATTTTTTTTCCAACTTCTTAGACTAGTATACAATATTAGGATCTCATTAAAGGTCTTCCAGCCAAATAAAGCCAAGTATTTGCTTAGCTTTTTTTAGATCAGTCAAGATTAGCTATATGCTGAGATTTAACTGGGCATAAACTTGTGTTAATTATTTAATTATTTGTTTTCTTGCAATGAATATTTAAGGCATTTCATATAATTTGTAAAAACACTGTAATTTAGTTGGAAATAATTCTCCAGTTAAAGCAGGTTTTTTTTTTAGGTAGCAACTGTAAGCATTATTTTCTATTCAATATATCCAGTTACCCTCAGCACACATTTCAGAGATGATAACTTATAAAATGTAAGCAAAGAAAACCCTGCCTTTTTTTTTATAGAAATCCTATCTTTTGTTGATAGATGATTAACACGACGATTTGCATTTCCAAAATAAGGTTTGCTCAACTTCCCCCAAATTTGCAACAATTATGATCTCGTTTGAATTTGATTAATTATACACCACCAAGTCGTTTCCGACCCTAGGAACCACACAGCTAAGATTTTCCTCATGAATCGCTTCAATTTATTATATTCTGTTGCAAATTAAACATTCTGAAATGGGGTTCCTCCCGAAAGCTTTCTCTAAGCCAGGGGTAGGCAACCTCGGCTCTTTTATGACTCATGGACTTCAACTCCCAGAATTCCTGAGTCAGCAGAGTTGAAGTCCATGAGTCATAAAAGAGCCGAAGTTGCCTAACCCTGCTCTAAGCTCTCATCTGCTGCCGTGTACAGTTCCTTATGATCGCGTATCACAACCTTTGGCAATGGCTTGACTCAACGAAAAATGTTAATGCTACCTGGAATGTTTAAATATGTTTAAGAAAAATGCTACCTGGATGGCGGCAGTTTCCCTGTTGCAGCCCCCTGAAAATGCCAGGACAGGAGGGAAATCGCAAGAGTTGAGAGAAGCCCAGGGGACCGAGAAAGGAGCCAGCGCCATTAGCCAGCGGCGAGCATAGGCCTTTCCTCAGATGGTATATAGTGTGGCTGCTTCTTCCCATCTTAGCCCCCAACATGCCGGCAGCTGACATTAGCCACCGCTGAAATCGACTCGCGAAGCTACGGGAAGGCGGACATCAGCACTTCAAAAAACTTTGGACTCTTGTACAAAGTCTTCAGAGGCATGCACTGCGCAGACGTGGTGGATACCTTGTTTCAGCCTCAGCTGAACTAAGGGAGGCAGTCAGAGAGCAGTGAAACGACGCAAGCGCGAGCTTTCAAGCTGTGTCTAGGAAGCTGCTAAGAAATGGTTCCCGCCTCTCCTTTTTTTTAACATCGTTGAAGATCTATCCGTTTTAGGTACCATTAGGGTGGAATAGGATGCAAGCCTGAGAAAAATGCTACTTTTTCTTGAGGCAACTACATGCCAAAGCAGATAGGTTGTTTCTCCATCACGTTTCCCCATAACCGGGAACAATCCGTTCCTAACACCCATCACCCATGGCAATGTATAAAGGGGAGCTTAGAAGGAAACGAAGAAAAATAGAAAAATACGGTTGCAGTTTTGTCGCCCATTTGTCCCCCTTCCAGACTGATCGACCAGCAAAACATGCAAAAGGGACCTTATAGCCCACGCACAGACAACTCGGAAGCTAATCCTTCCACTTTCGTTCCAAAATCAGGTGCATAGATTTGGAATGCGAGGTCCAAGTATTGCGCAATTTAAAGAGAAATTCTGTACAAGAAAACACTAGAAATTGAGATACTACTTGGAAGCATAGCAAGAGGCCATCATACAATTCCAAATGCGCTAAAAGAAAAACTCTCCCTGGGAAGATACTGGAAAAGACAATCAAAAAACAGATCTGCAAACATCTAGAAACAAAGTTATAACTAGAAGCCAGCACAGGTTTGTTAAAAACTGATCATGCCAAACCAATCTTATTTCATTCTTTAATCAGGTAACTAAATTGGTGGTCCAGCAGAATGCTGTGGATGTGGTATACTTGGACTTCAGCAAGGCATTTGACAAAATAGACTACAACTTCTTAGAAAGCTTTAAAAAAGTGGGATAGATAGCATCACCATCAGATGGATTTTTAATCCATGATAAACCCCGCTCTCAAAGAGTAGACCTTAATGGTACTACATCTTCATAGACGGAAGCAGTGGGGTACCAGTACTCTTCAACATCTTCATAAATGACCTAGATGAGGTAAAAGAAGGGGAACTTATCAAATTTGCAGATGACACTCTAGATCACGGGTGTCAAACTCGGCAGACACTTGATGTGTCATGACGTATCGCGACTCAGCATTGCCGGCAATGGGGTGGGCTGGCAGTTTGACACCCCTGCTCTAGATCAAGATCCAGAGTAATCTTGACAGACTTTTACACTATCTAACAAAATGAAATTCAATGTAGAGCAAAATAAAGTCTTACTCTTAGGCAAGAAAAACCAAAAGTCCACATATAAATTGGGTGAAACCAGGCTTAATAGCAGCAACTGTGAAAGGGATCTTGGAATCTTAGTGGACAATTAAATATGAGCCAACAGTGTGCCGCGGCAGCCAAAAATGTCAATGCAATCCTAAATTGCATTAACCGAGGAATTCAATCAAGATCACATGAGCTACTAATATCACTCTATAAAGCCTTAGACCACACCTAGAATACTGCAATCAGTTTTGGCCTCCACACTATAAAAAAAGATGTTGAGACTCTGGAGAGAGTGCAGAGAAGACCACAAGGATGATTAGGGGACTGGAGGCTAAAACACGAACGATTACAGGAACTGGGCATGGCTAGTCTAGTGAAGAGAAGGACCAGAGGAGACATGAGAGCAGTGTTCCAATATTTGAGGGGCTATCACAGAGAGGAGGCGATCAACCTATTTTCCAAAGCACCTGAAGAACAGACAAGGAATAATGGATAGAAACTGATCAAGGAAAGATTCAATCTGGAAATAAGGAGACATTTCCTGACAAAACAATCAACCAATAAAACAGACTAGACTAGACTAGACTAGACTAGAATAGACTAGAATAGAATAGAATAGAATAGAATAGAATAGAATAGAATAGAACCTGTACCATTTCAGACAGCTGGCTATCTAGTCTCTTCTTTAAAACTTCCAAGCTGTTCTACTGGTTAATTGTCCTCACTGTTAGGAAGTTTCTCCTTAATTCCAGGTTGCTTCTCTCTTTGATCAGTTTTCAACCATTGTTTCTTGTTCTGCCCTCTGGTGCTTTGGTGAATAACGTGACCCCATCTTCTTTGTGGCAATCCCTCAAATACTGGTATCATGTCACCCATTTCTTTTCTTTAGACTAACCAAACCCACGTCCTGCATCCATCTTCATATGTTTTAATCTGCAGGCCTTTGAACATTTTAGTTGCTCTTCTCTGAACTTTTTCTTTTTTTTCTTTTTTTTTAAATTTTATTGAATAACCAAAAAAGGAAAAAAAATTAAAAACATTGAACATGGTAAATCAGATTTAACAAACATCTCAGTTCATATTCACAATTAAATACTAATAAAAACTCTATACAATAACATCACTCTAATCTCAATCTTAACTTATCTCATTACAAGACTTCCATATTTTTTCTACCACCATCTATAAAATTTGTTCCAAATTTGGTAAAAATCCATTTTATCCTGATTTTTAAGTCTTTTAGTTAACCTATCTAATTCTGCGCAGTGCATAATTTTATGAATTAAGATTTCCTCACTAGGTATAGCCGTAGCTTTCCAGTTTTGAGCGAATACAATTCTTGCCGCTGTAACCACATGAGTGAATAAATATGTATCCTCTTTACTAACATTTTTTTCAAGAATTCCTAACAACAATGTCTCAGGCTTATACTGAATGTTTTGCATACTCATTTCTCTTACCCATTCCCAAACCATACGCTAATATCCCTGTACTTCCTTACATGACCACCAAACATGAAAAAAGTGCCCCTTTTTTGCATTTCCAACACAAAGGGGGGTTAGGGTTCTCTGAACTTTTTCCAAAGTCTCAACATCTTTTTTGTAGTATGGTGACCAAAATTGATTGCAGTATTCCAAGTGTGGTTTCACTAGGGTTTTATAAAGCGGTACTAATATTTCACATGATGTTGATTCTATGCCTTTGTTTATACAACCCAGGATTGTATTAGCTTTTTTGGCAGCGGTTGCACACTGCTGGCTCATAGTCAAGTGATCATCCACTAGGACTCCAAGATCCCTCTCACAGTTACTGTTTTTGAGCCAGGTTTTGCCTTGTACTTGTACCTTTGGTTTTTCCTGCCTAAATGTAAAACTTTGCTTTTTTCCACATTAAAATTCATTTTGTTGGATAGGGCCCATTGTTCAGATTTGTCTAGATCTTTTTGGATCCTGAATTTGTCTTCTGTTGTTGGTGCTTCATCACTGGAGGCTTTCAAGAAGAGACTGGACTGCCATCTGTCAGAAATGTTGTAACGACTCTTGCTTGGGCAGGGGTTGGACTAGATCAGGGGTCCCCAACCTCTGGTTCGTGGACCAGTACCGGGCTGCGGCATGCCAGCAACTGGCTGCACAAACAAGCCCCATCTGTGGGTTGCAGGCAGCACACAAAATCAGGCCCCCTATGGTCCACAGAAAAACCTCTCTCCACCGAACCAGTCCCTGGTGCCCAAGATCTTTGGACTAGATGACCTACAAGGTCTCTTCCAACTCGAAGAGGAGAGGAAGAAGAGGAAAGTAGGGAAGAGAAGAAAGGGAGAAAGAAGGTAGAGAAGAAGAAATGTGGATACAGTGAAAGGGGAAATGGGCGAGCAACACCAAAAGTCATGTATTTATTTCATTTTATCAAAAGTATCTTATATGTGAATGTAAAAAGAATGTATGTTAACATCTGATAAATATCACGGTATATGTATGGGGGGGAGTTTGGAAAAATAAAAAAATATTTTTTTTAAAAAAAGGTCTCTTCCAACTCGGTTATTCTTTTTTATTTATATTTCTATTTTATTCATAAATAAATGAATAAAATATCAATTGTAATCAATTATATTGAAACCTTAGATTTCTACTGGCACGCCCATACTAAAAATTTTAATTGGATAAACGTAAACCCATCTAGATTCCACTAATGCATCCTGTGTTTTACATTATTATAAGAACGCACAAGTCAATTCACACGGAAGAGACGTAAAGCCTGCAGCATGAAACGGAAGACTCTCGGCGGAGCAGTTTCGAAGGAGGGCAGCAATCGAATTGACCCGGAACTCCTCGTCCTCCGGAGTTTACTAGACGAAGGAAATTGGCGGTTGCTGTAACTGCGTTCCCGAGATCGCCATGTACCGGCAGGGTTTGCGGCCTCCCACCCCGCCGTCTTCGGGTGCTTCTGGAGGAGCTTCTCCACAAGGCTACCAAAGCCCTCGCCACAGATCGCCTTACGGATCCCGCTCGCGGCCATATGACATTTCTCCTCGCTCTCCCCGCTTCCAACCGTGCGGGGATGGTGGAGGCTGGTTTGGAGGGTCGGCTGCGGCGCACACACCCCGTAGGCCCCACAGTACCAGCCCTAGGTACCTGGCTCCCTACAGTGGCGGCAGGTCCCCCGGAGGGGCGTTTAATCACCAGCAGCTCTTCAAGCAGCCGCCTTCGGGGGGCTACCAGAGATACAACCAGGTATTTGCTGGGGGGGGGGGTAGATATAACCAGGATCGTTCACGGTTCAGCCGTTCGGGCCCTGCGCGCCTGAAGTGAGGAGGTCCTTGGTACTCTCGGAGCTTGGTAATTGCGCGTAGAATTGCATGCCTGTTTAATTTCCAGTCAGCAGACATGTTACATTCAATGACGCCTTTTAACATGAGATAGCAATTGTTCCAACTACTGTCATTCTAAATGCTTATAGATCGGAGTAAGTCCGAAACTTAGTAAGCCATCTTTACGAATAAACGGGTTTCTGTTAAGCTGGGGCTCTGCAAAAAAACTGAGGAGAAACATCGTATTTATTGATCTCTCAAGACCTGGAGGATCCGACCGTTAGATATATAGAACAAACCTAGGCAATCTATTCCTTAAAATATATAATAACCAGTTAGGATAGCACAAGTTTTGAGGGCTTCTTTAATGTGTTTTAATTCTTTTTCTTTTTCCTGTTTGTTGGTAGGCAAACCTTCAGCCCAGTGGTATAGGGTTCTGATCACTTCCATTTTGTGATCAAAAGGCTTCCTATGCTTTTTTCCCCCACCTGCAGACTGAGTTGCCTCTTATAGGCCATTACCTAGGCTGCAGAACTTCCTCCTGTCTCCCAAAGTCATTCCCACATTCCATTACAGTATGTGACTGCTATAGAAGAGATTAAAATAATCCGTCTTATTCAGTCTGTCATTTTATTTCAGCAGCACAGATCTTTTGAAAAGTCACATTTATCTAGTATCAGTGTAGCCTAGACAGTGTAGAAATTGACTAAACAAACTATAAAGTATATAGCAATATATCTAAAATTATAGCAATTTTGGAAGTAAAAATTAATATGACGGGTCCTTATGCAGTTTAGATAAGGCAATTAAATTTATTTATTTATTTAGGAAATTTATATGGTCATAAACTCACAGCTACTCTAGACGACTTACAAGCAATAAAAACACAATGTAGAAAAATTTTAAAAATAAAAACAATAAACCCCCCCCACGATAGTGATTATTTAGAATAAAGGAATAGTCACATTATTGACCTAAAGTATATAGTACTTCTAATACTAAAAATCCATGGAATTGTATTTAATATTGTAACTAGACAGATACGATGATGCATTGAAAAGGAAGAAAAATACATAAGGAAGAATTATGATTTAGCCTAAATGTTCAAATCCTATTATAATGACTATCTGTGAAGTACTTGGTGGTCTCTAATTTCATTTGGATAGTGTTGTTGCAAGCAAACAACAAAATTCAGAGGACCAAGCATTCCACAGTTCAGCTTGGAACTACAGATAATCTTGTTTTATTTATCTTTATTGATACAATGACTTAAGACCAAAATCAGATTCAATCTTGTCAGTAAGGCTATAATATTTTGGATCAAAATTCAAGCACATAGCAACAGGCATGTATTTATGACAGTTGCAGCATCCTGAGGTCATGTGATCACCATTTGCAATCTTTGCAGCCAGTTTCTATAAACAAAATCAGTCAGAGAATCCAGATTTGCTTAATAACCATGGCAAAATCAGGTGTGACTCACTTAACAATTTCTTCGCTTAGCAGTGGACATTTTGGTCCAATTTGGAAATTGTAGTTTTGTCTGTATTGATTAGGTCATTCTAAAGTATGTGTTGCTAGTATTAGAATGATCAATAGTTAGGAAAATTGAGAGGAATACAGAATTCCTTTTCTGCTCTTTGGTATCTCCTGCTAATAGAGATGATTTAAGATTATTTAAAACACGTTGTTCACCAGTCCAAAAATGAACAAAGATTGATATATTTGCTTGCTATTCTTTTCCCAATACATTAAAGTTCTGAAGAGCTTTGCTTTTTCTAACTCAGTTTAAGAACCAGTACAAAGAACGGTTGGTAGTAAACTGATATTTCAGCTTTAAAGTAAATTAAATTATCTGCCTGGTGATTTTTATGAAAAAGTAGCAATTACTTTATATTTCCTCTTAAAAAGTAATTTAAAAACATATTCCAATTTTTTTATTAACGTTCTAAAATATATAGGCCCATTGCATGCTTAAAGTTATTTTTTAAAATACAAAAAGTGAGAGAGAGAGAGACCTTCTAAACTGGGAGGCACTTTGTGGCTTATTCAATTTATGAGGATGTTTACCTGAAAAAGCATTTAAAGATTACTTAATTATGTAAGATTAAATTCTGATTCATTGGCAATTAGTCTTGTTAAATGTGCCCTAAGTTTAAATACAGTGTAGATAATATTTAGATGAAGCTATCATCATATTCTAGATCAGAGTAGTGCAGAACTGTAATAATTCTAAAGGATTCAAAAACTTTATTTCACCACTGTTCATTTAACAACCAAACATCAAATGCCTTGGCAGTAGTATACAATTAAACCCAAGGAAAATAAGATACTTATTAGGTTGAATTGATACTATATGTCAAGGACATTTCATATTGTTTTAGTGCGTACATCATTTAATGATTAATAAAAATAAACCTTAAACCAAGGTCATTTTGCTCACAAATTTATTTAAAATGTTAATTCTCTGTAATTGTGAATAAGATCATTATCTTTGAAAGGCAGCAAAGATTCTGAATCCTCTACCTAAAAAAAGTGATTGTTTTGTTTAAATATTGTAGGTATGCAGATATAAAGATTACTTTGATCTGTTTTATGAGACAACATACAAGATTTCAGGAATATTTTGTGCTGTATCTATTAATGGTGAAAGCTGAATATAGGTGCTAGGTTACCATGTCATGGTTAACACAAACTATGACTTACAAGCATAATGTCTGAGCTAAAATATCCACAGCCAAAAAATGTGTGTTATTCCAACTAATGATTGGCTTCAGAGAACATAATAAATTAAAACCATACAGACCGCACTACAGGTAATCCCTGAGTTACGAGCATTCACTTAACGCTTATTCGAAGTTACGCAACAAGCGCCTCCTAGTATTTACGAGCAAGTCCCAAAATCATGAATATTGCAGCACCATGACAGTTGTTCACACTTATGAATGATAGCAGAGACTCTGCAACATTCACCCTACTCCTTCCCACTCTTCATAACTACTTTCCCTTCCCTTTCTGCCCCACCAGATACACTCACCTTGCAAAATCTGTCTTTTCTGTTTCTTTCCCTTTGAGGGAGGGGAGAGTTGGCTTGGAAATGCTTTTTGCACTGACAATGGAAGCTCCTGCGTGCCATAATATCGCACAAGTTCAAACACAAATTCTCTACAAAAGACATCATGGCCTCCAGAAGCTTCTATTCTGGGGGGGGGGGGGATTGTTTGCTTTGTTTGCATGCCTGTGGGGCAAAGTGTGGAATTGGAGTCGGCCGGGTGCAGGAAACAATGCCGTCCATTACTCAGATGTGCTGCTCGCTCACTCGCCTTAGTTTGAGGGCAGAAACGAAGCCTTCAACTGAGCGGGGAGGTATTGCAGAATCAGGCCCCTTGTACATGCATCCAAGCCACAGATGACGGCGGCACTGACTACCTGAACAACCATGATCCCATCTCCCCAGCCAGCCAGCCACTTCATACGATCTACTCCTTGCCTGACTGGCTGGCTGGCTGGCACAGATCTGATCACTCTTCTCCTTGTAAACCTCCCCACTCAAGTGGTGGCAGCGGCTTCAGTTTCTCAGCCCCATCCAAAACGAAGAAAGTGGAGATACAATAGGATTGCTCTCAAGACCTGTGTGCGCTGCTTATTGAGAGCAATCCCACTACTGCGCCTCTGCTTTTTTCCACTTGAATGGAGCCGAGAAACTCAAGCCGCTACCGCAGCTTGAGTAGGTAGAAAAACAAGGAGGAGAGCAGTCAGGATTTGTGCCAGCCAGCCTGCCAGGCAACGAGTAGTTTGTAGTAGGGGTGGCTGGGGAGGGGGGATCATGGCTGCTCAGGTGGCTGCCGTTGCTGCCAGCAGTTTAGATTTCTCTGTGGAAAAAAGACGTGCAGCAGCAGGATTGCTCAGTAAGTCCAATGCATATGAGCAAGCAGTGCACCTGGGTCTTTTTGAGAATGATCCTGCTCCTGTGTCTCCACTTTCTTCCACTTGGAGCCAAGAATCATGGTCGTTCAGATGGCTGCTGCTGCCAGTGCCTTAGGTTTCAAAGTGCTCCTTAGGCGCTGAAACACTTTTTATCCGAAGGGAGACTTTGAGGAGACTGGAAACTCTGCATGGCTACCAATGCATGCATAGAAATGGAGCAGAAGGCTCCATTTCCAAGCACCCCATCCAGGCATATAGAGCTTGTATATTGGGTTTCCGTTCGGATAAAAAGTGTTTCAGCGTCTATGGAGTACTTCAAAATGCAGACATTTGCTTGTTTTGAAGTGCTCCATAGGCGCTGAAACACTTTTTATCTAAACAGAGACCTGACAGAGACTGCAAGCTCCGTATGCCTGAAATGGAGCACTTGAGAGACAGAGCATTCTGCTCCATTTCTAAGCATACATTGACAACCATGCGGAGCTTGCGGTCATCTGTCAGGTCTTTGTTTGGATAAAAAGTGTTTCAGCACCTGTGGGGCATTTGAAAACGAAGCAAATGCTTCGTTTCCAAGCACCCCATAGGCAGTCAAACTCTTTTTACCCAGACGGAGACCTGACAGAGATTGGAAGTTCCGCCTGGCTGCATTTACATGACAGAGCTTTCAGTCTCCCCAAGATCTCCGTCCTGGTGAAAATTATTCTGGCAGTGGCGGAAAGGAGTTGGGGGCGGAAGCAGAAGATAGGCACTGCAAACATGGCAAGAGTTCAGGCTGCCATTCAGGATGGATGCCTGAACTCGCGTGATATTATGGGCACCCAGGAACTTCCATCAATTCTCCTCTCCCTCAGAGGCAGAAACCGCAGCAGAGAGAAGACGGACCTTTTCAAGGTAAGTGAGTCTGGCATAGCCAGAAAGGAGTGGGAACCATGAGATATCTTATCTTAGTTGGGGAGGCCTTGGCCTGTTCCATCACTAGCCCCCCCCCCCATGGCCTTCCCCACCCTGAGATACCTCCTGTTCACTTAACGAGCCATGCAAGTGTTAATAAGCAGGGAGTGATCTCGTTCAAGATATGAAATTCACTCCCACGAATTCTCAAGTTACGAATGGAATAGGCAGGCTCCATTTCATTCGTAACCCGAAGACTACCTGTACAACCTTCCTCACTTAATGACAACAATCCATTTCTTAAACCAGAATGGTTGCTAAGCAAACACACGATAAAAGGAGACACTGCAAAAATCCCAAGCTACTACCATCTCATTTAGAGGCAGCTATGCGAACGTTATTCTCACTCCGTTGTACATTCTGGTCAGGCACATAAAATAACGTATTGTGTAGCAGGAACATATACACAATGCTAGACACCCCCAAGTCCAGAGGAGAAATTCCATTGAAGGCTGTGGAGAATAAGAAGGCTAAGATCCTATGGGACTTCCAGTTTCAGACAGGCCTGTGTTAGCCGATCTGTCAGACATGGTAATTGACAAGGACCAGATCACTGCAGTGGTAGTGGTGCCAAGTGAGAGCAACATCAGGAAGGAGGAATATGAGGGAACCAGAAAAATCTATATATCTTTATATCAATTAATTTGTTTTGAAATCTTAAAAATAGAGGTATTTATAACTTTCTGTACTTGTTTTAATATGTCCTTTAGGCCTTCATCATCTTAGTATTTTTCTTTGGTTATAATTTTCAAGTGAGAATATAAAAAAAACAGGTAATAACTAATTTGTACAAACTACGTATTTTAGGATGCATGGAAGTATTGAAGAACTTATATATAGCTGATACTGAATGAAAAAAATATATACGTATACATTTTAACTATGTTCTTTTCTTTTTCTTCATGACTTTTTTCAAAGGGATCACCCCGAATATCGACTCCATTTGGTACACCACATGGGAAAGAGAAAACACTGTCCAATGATGATGTGGAGAATTATTATAAATCTTCAATGCTTGAGGACCCATGGGCAGGCCTAGAACCTGTGTCTGTTACTGATGTTAAACAACAATTCAACCTTGAACAAGCAACACATTGTGGTAGAAAAGGAAGATATTTCAGCTAAAGAACTTAACAAGTTAAATAATGTTTGTGAGATACTGATATGTTTGTGAGAAACTGAAATAGAATTGCCTTTCTTAAGATGATCATTACGCAAGTATATGGACTATATTTTTAATTTCCATATTTTTGTTCTGTCATTTTGACAAGATTGAATATTTTTATACTAAAAGAAAGAAGATACTTTGCACTTCTGAATATACAGAAGAGAAATACTAAGAATACACTCTTAGCCATCATTGAACTGTTTTGAGACTTTTAAAAGTCTTTCTTGGCAAATTGTTTAAGATTGTAAGCTTCTTGAAAAGATGTCAAAACAAGGAGAATTTTAAAGTAAAATAGATCATTATGTATTACAGTATTACAGTAGTTTTTGTTAATCATACTTCAGCCTACATTATTAAAATCCTTTGGGTTGGGTTGGTTTTTTTTTTTATAGTTGTGGGCAATGAAATATTTAACATGCTTGTACACTGCATGCTCCCAACAAAGCTAACCTACAGTGAAATCTATAATCTATACCCTAATAATAAATATGAAAATATACTGTAATAAATGTCATAAAATAGGAGTATCGTGCAATCAGAAAAGAAAAAAACATAGAAACATGGAATTAATAATAATAGTTCAAGATAGCTGATTAAAACAAAGAACATGAAACATAAAGAAGTAGATTTTTTACATTTTTCCTAAGAACGGTCTAATCAAATTGTTAATGAAATGAATTCCCCAGCATTGAAACCACCACCAAAAAAAGGTGATACCACAAGACTGCACTTAAACCTCTCCTGGTTGGCATATATAATAGATTTTCTGGTGAATACAGTAAAAACTATTCCTTCAAATAGAAATACCTAAGAGATGCATCTGATAAATCATGTCCACTTGCCAGTGCATTTACATACGCAATAAAGGACAACACAGGATTAAAATGCACCTCTAAACTAGGTACCTAATCCTTTTGGGAAAAATAACTCTATTGAGGTCAAGAAAATCTCTATTCAGTTTTGAGACATCTCTACTTATCAGTCCCTTTAACCTGTTAAGTTTCATCATACTGGGCGAACCCAATATGCAGTCTGGTCCAAATAAGAGTAAAGTCAAGGAGTTTGAAATTGATGAAAAAGAAGAGTAACAGTTGTTATAAATGTAGACCCAATCCTATAATCGCTGGTAGCCTTCCAGTAGCTACATATAGATGTTGAGTATCATGACAATACAGGTATTGCTTGACTTAAATCACCATTCGTTTAGTGACTTCGAAGTTACAACAGCAATGAACAAAGTGACTTATGACCATTTTTCACACTTCTTGCAGCATCAAAATTCAGATGCTTCGCAATTGGTTCATATTTATGATGGTAGTAGAGTCCCTGGGTCATGTAATCGCCCTTTGCAACCTTCTGACAAGCAGAGTCAATGGGGAAGCCAAATTCACTTAACAACTGTTGCAAGAAAGGTTATAAAGTGAGACAGAACTCAGTTAACTCTCATTTAGCAACAAAAACTTTGAGCTCAATTGTGGTTGTAAGTTGAGGACTATTTCTACAACAGAATTCTGTGGCATAGATGCACAAGATGAAATGATGGGCTGCAAGATGAAAAAGGAATCCCTCTGTTCTTTTGGAATCTATCTTCAAGATAGAACAAAACTACCATAGACCTGTGGTCCTGCCTCCCAGCTATCTCTTTAGAATGATCTGAGGATGTTATAGTTGACAGTGTTAAAAGCTGAAATTAAGGATTATAAGGAAAAACTATCCTGTTTACTCAGTAACCATAGGATGATGTGGTCTGAAATTGAATAGAACAATTCCAGAAACAGTTTCATTTGGGAACATTTAGAATCCATCTGCTGCCATTGTTTCAATTATATTGATGAGGAATGATACATTCATAATTCATTACAAGTCTAAAGGTGTTTTAATGTGAAGACAGGGAGAATCTATTGATTATATTTTCAGAGAGAAACATTCCCTAAAATCTTTAACATAGATGGCATTTTTCTACCTACTTCAAACCTTCCTGGTCACTAATAGTCAAGCGGGAACTAGGCCCAAACTCATCCAAGTATCTTGTCCACATACTGATAAGAGAGATTAAAATTGATCCAATAATACATAATAAGCCATTGTGCCACTATCATTCTTAGCATTACTGATGAAATGGATGTCAGTTTAATAATGGATATAAACAAGATTACTTGAAAAGAATCCATAAAACTTTTGAGTTCACTTGCCAAAAGCACTAGATGATCTTCCAGAGCCTAATCAGTGCCCCTTTTCCATGAGTCCCTTGAGCAGCGATTACATAAAGTGAAGAAAAGCAAAAATAGGCTTTCTAATGAATTTTAAACTCTACTTAGACATATTTTATTTTTTCTACATGCTTCATCGTCTGCAGATCTCTGATAAATAAGGAAATTGGTTTTGTATGGAAATCTAACAATTCAAGGTCTAGCCAACAATCGATGATGTAACCAGTTACCAAGTCTTAGCCTGAAGGATTACAGCCACCAGTAAATCTTACTCCAACTGAGTTTAGAATTCTATCAAATATAGAGAATGCCAAGCTATCTCTTTAGAATCTAACCCAGCTCAGCATATTTGCAGGCGTGGGCTGGTCAACCATTGTAACTCAACCAAGCAGTCATACATTGACAAACACTAAATTCTGGCCCCTTTAATCATTGAATATTTTTATTACAAAACCAAGTCTACAGTATATCCTATGAGTAAAGACAGATATTGTGAGACAGACGCATAATAGTCAGGAAAGACTATTAATGCTTCAGCATAAATTACAAGATTTGGAACTTTCCACCCCATTTTCAAAATCATTTCTACCAGCTCAGGCAGAGATACTTTAGACCAGAGGTCCCCAATCTTTTGGGCACCAGGGATCAATTCCGTGGAGAGAGGTTTTTCTGAGGACCAGAGGGGTGTGGTTTTGTGTGCTGCCTGCATGCCACTTGCTGGCATGCCACGGCCCGGTACTGGCCCACAGACCGGGGGTTGGGGACCCGTGCTTTAGATAGAGAACTCATGGTACAACAGCAAGTATCCCAACCTGTATGATCTTAAGTCATAATAAGCACACTTCAAAACTTAATATGACTTTTTTTTCACAGAAACTTAGTAGGACAGTCTAACTCAGATGACTTCACTCAGTTCCTTCATTCAGGTCTCAGTCACTACAGTTCAGCTCATCACTTAGATCAAGTAAACTAGGAGGTAAAATTCAGTCATCAGCAGCAAGCATTAAGCAGAAAAAAGAAATTAAAATGTTTGTTAATAAACCTTCCTATCTCCCCCCCCCCCGGCTGATGACTGAGCATCAAAGCTATTGAACTTTCTTATACTGTACTATAGGAGCTGTCAATTAGCTGAACATTCCTCTATAAACATTTTTATAAATTGAAAAATCCACCAGATAAACTTTTCAATCTTTACCATCATCTCAACTATCAAACGCAAACTACCCACCCTCATCTACAGTCAATTTTAATCAATTACAGCTTCTCAATTGACTTGAGATACCAAAGTTTTGAACATTTCTTGTGCCAAACTGTACAACTTTCTTATATTTGAACCATTTGAATTTGCTTTTTTCCTCTCTACAAAAAAAAATATGGGAATAAGATCTCAGAAAAATAAACTATAGCAACTTTCAGTCACTTAGGGCCACCCTGTGGTTAGTGGATCTTAAAGCTATAGCTGTGTAGCTAGATTTAAAAATAAATTTATCAAAGTCTATACGATTTCCACAGGACATGTTTTATTTACTAAGAAGTTAGTGCCAAGCTTACAGGAGTATTGTAAATATATTTTAGATTTACAAATTTAAGATTTATTGTACCAAATCATTTCATACAACTGTGGTGGCAAACCTACGGCACGTGTGCCACAGGTGGCACACATAGCCCTCTCTGTGGGTACACGCACCGTTACTCCAGTCCTAGGCCTTCAGCTGTGTTTTATAAAACCTTTTCGCTTTAGGCCTCCACTACCATTGCAAAAAAAAGGAAAAATTTCAATCAATTTCAACTTCTTGTGGGAAAAAAAAGATCTGTTTGATTGATTGAACTTTTCAGTTCCACCTAGTCTGCTGTTACCACCGCAGCCACGCCCACCCAATGGGCCACACCCACGCAGCACCCAATGATACATAAGTGGGTTTTGGGTTGCAGTTTGGGCACTCGGTCTCTAAAAGGTTCACCATCACTATCATACAGTCTTCAAGATGACTGCTGTATCTCAGCTGACCCTAAGTCTTCTTCTGTTAGGCAAACATACTATCAAGCAAAACACTAGATTATAACTACCACTGTTTTTATTCTCTTCTGCAATCCATTGTAAACCCTAGAAATATTCATGGAAATAAAAATGCTAGATTCCTTTTAACTGAAATTCAAAAATGGTATCTGGTTGGCACCAAGGGATGTGTCCTTAAGGATCCAAGTATTATTCTCTATCACCTAGGGTTTCTCCCGAATAGCCAGATGTATTTTCTTGAAGTCAAGCAGTTGACTATACTTATTTTTAAAGATATAGAATTGTTTTGGAGGATACAAATGAAAACAAAGCAGTGGTTTGCAATTACAAAATTCCAACTGCTAATCTTTTTCCAAGAAAAAAAAAGGCAGATAGGTTACATAAATTAGATCTCTGTGGGAAAGTCCAGTAATAGATATGTGTAAAAGATAAAATAAGAGAACATAGAAGGCTGAGGTCTTAAAACAACTTTCCAATTTAGAAGTCCTTTTAATTCTTCTAAAGAGGTGCATATATGATTGCATGTTATGTGAACTTGGTAGACAAAATACGAGATTCAATCCTTAATCTCCTGTCCTATTAAACAAAATTCAGTAACTTTCTTCAGTAAAATAGAATGAGTGCCAAGGCTGCCACTTTATTTTTTCTAAATTTAAGATGCTATTAAATTCTTTAATAAGGATACTTTATAAATATTGAAAAAAGCAATGATTTGTCATGTATTTTTCCTTGATGCAAAAATGATATATTGCAAGCAGCAGTTTCCTCCCCTTAAGTTAAAATAATGAATCCCAAATTACCGTATATGCCGGCGTACAAGGCGACCCGGCGTATAAGACGACCCCCGTCTTTATCACCGAGCCGCATTCCTAGAACGTCGTCTTATACGCCGGAAACTACCAGTATTTCCGGTGTATAAGACGACTTGGCGTATAAGACGACCGTCTTTGGCGCCGATTTTAGCGCTCGCGGAAGTCGCCTTATACGCCGGCATATACAGTATAGAACAAATCTAGCTTTTTACTTATTAGTAGATAGATATATACCCCAAGTTTAAGACTTTGCAGAAGGATGAATGACGGTGTTAACTTATCAATTCTTCCTTGTAATTATAGTTTCCAATACTAGGCCCCTTGGTTTTCCAAAGAGTCTTAAAAGTTTTTCAGAGGGCCTTCATGCTTGCAGAAGAGGGGGGGAATTATCTTGGAACATTTTTCTATAAATAGGATGTGTTTTTATCTGTAGAGGAAGTTCTTAAATTCAAACTTGCATCTTTAATTTTACATTGCTATTTAGCATGGATCCACTGAAAATAATGGAAATTAGCCTTGAACTATTTGAAACAGGAACTTCAGTCAATAGAAATGACTAAAACACAACACTGTAAAATCAGAAGTTTTGGCAAGCTGTTTTCTAATGATTCTAATTATCTATGTGAACATAGATATCTTAAAATATTTTGTCTTGAACACAGAAAATAACTTTATTAGATGAAGACCTTTAGGCCTATTTGTTGTACCTTCTACCTTACATTCTATTGTACTTACCTGCTTCGGATTTTGAAACATTGAAATAGGAAATCAAGTGATCTGATCAGTAAGAGATACAAACCATGTCTTTCCTTAAATAAAAATAATGTATTTGTTGATTCAACCTACTTATTTCACAAATAGACAGTAGGGATCTGATGTTGTTTAGAACAAGGGTATAACAGGGCACTAAAAAATGAAAATAGTCTATGTAATGTATTGTGACAGAAAGTGGCCTTAATTTTAATATACTTTAAGAAATGCACATGAAAATATGTTAGAACGTCTGAATTTCCTGTTAGCATTGCACTATTATATAGGACCAATACTGTATAAATAAAAAAAAACAGCACATTTTGTCTAGTCTGGAACCTGACATGTTTCTTAACACAATCCTTGTAATATATAATAGTCACGTGAGAACTAATAAACAACCAAAAGGATCACTAGGAATTTAATCCAAATCTGAATATCAAATAAATTTTATCAAAGAGATATTGTTGATGTTAATGTTTACTTTTACTAAACAGGATTATTCAGAAGCACCCATTTCAGGCCACTATTCTTTTATCTGAAATATCAATATTAACAGCTAAAATTACAAAATATTTTATTTCAGTTTAGCTGTTTTTATTTTCAATAAGAAATTCTTGACTGAGGATGACTATAATTGTATTTACAGGGAGTTCAGACATATTTGACAGTCTATAAATGCAGTACTCTCATTTTTTTTTTAAAAAAAGAAGCAATGTTTGTTTGAATTGCTTCTAATAAGTTTCAGCTGACAATACATGTGAATTACATGTAATTACATTTTTAGAAAATAGCTACATATATATGCACTAACTTGTCAACTGAATAGTCAGTTGGAAAGCCTTTTTTTCAATATGGCTGTTTAAAAACATTTCAATACCGAGAAATCATAGCCAATGGCTGGTCTACAGGGAGGGACTTCTCAAGAAACAAATGTAGAAAGCCAGAAAGCATCTTCGGAAGCCAGAATTAGATTTTCAAGAACCTTGTTTTCCCTCTCCTTTTCAAGATACAATGAATTAAAAACCTAATCAAATTAAATGAATAAGCTAGTAGAATAATATAATACAGAATTGGTTGGCACCATCGTTAATTTCTATAAATTTGTTTAAATTTCAGTTGCCTTGATTTCTGTTTATATAACCAAAGTTACATTCTACAGCAGCTGCATTTAAAATGAGTGAAATACTTATTAGAAGATAGTGAGAAAATGCTATTTTTAATTTTTAAAAAACTGTCTTGAATAAAACAGGACACTAATTTTTATTTGGTAAAGTAGTTAAAAGGTACAGAAAACTGAAGAAAACCTACCTTTTTTCATATTGTCCATATATTCTCATATAATTTCATGTAATTAAATATGGTGATAGTTATAATTTTGGAAAAACAAGATAAATGTTTCACCTAATAGGATATGAAAATTCTTAAGACACTATTGTGTCCCATTTGTCCTTAGGTTAGCGTCGGTGTAGTGTAAATATTAATACTTCGTACCAAAATACAAATTACCTTCAAACAGCCTTATGAATTTAATGAAATGTTCTTCAGACCTTAAGATTACATCATTAAGGCACTTACCATTCAAGTAAAACAGATATTTATACAAATGTTGGGAAGATGGACTGGATATTTTACTAAACAAACAATTTGAAAGTAAATCAACTCAATGTCAAAGTATGTATAAACAGTATCAAGAGTGACTATTTTATTGTCTGAAATGAGCACAAACATTTCCACAGATAACACTGAAAGCAGTGCAAAGACTGATAGTGACTTCTTGACTAAAGGTAGTTTTGTAAAAAGAAATACCAAATAAATCAGTGCCCTGTTTTGGTTTTGTAAAATTTTTACATAAAAGTTGGTCCAAACTTACAAAAAAAGCACAAATTGTGTGCATAGTTCAGATCTTAGTAGTGTGCCTTAAAAAGCTGATGTCCCTAAATTTAGCATTGACTTAGAACTGCCAAAATATAAAATTTATAGCTAGAATTTGAAAGATGAATAATTATCTGGATTTTCAGAACAGCATAAGTTGTAAGCAATTTCCTATTGTATGCAAGATCCTTTTCTGAATAAAAATAAAGCTGCTGAATTAACATTATTCAAGTCTGTTGGATTGCTGTTTGAAATCACAGCTAAAAAGTATTTCCAGATACAAATGATGTGCCTGAGGGCCAAGGAGAAGAACAGCAGCTCAGTATGGCAATCCTCTGCCTCGACCTCTGACTGCTGATGTACTAATATGTCCCCTGTATCCTTGTGAATATCCAAGTCCTTGAGCAGGAGAAGTCCAAGTTTGTCCATGAATGTGGCTGGCACTGGCAGGAGGTTCTTGTAAATTACTTCCATAGCTATAGTTCTGCATCTTTGAAGACAAAGAATGAGAATGAGTACTTTCTGACCCAGACCTTCCAACTGAATTGCCACTGTTTTCCAGTACTGTGATGGGACCATGGCTATATTCAAATCTATGATCCTTATCTCCACTAAATAGCATAGAACCAGTGTTGAGGTAAATGTCTCCATAACGAGTTACTGAGCTATGAAATGGTTCTGAAAAGGCAGGAGTTGGAAGGGCACTACTTGAATGAGATGAAGCAATATTATAGTTCTCCAAGGGTTGAATATCTGAATTTCCAACAAAATTTGCCCTTTCTAATGTCCCAGATGATACATTTCCTATTACATCACTACCACTATAATGGGCACAAGAGAATGTAGTAGATACAAAACTATCTTTATAGTTTGGACCTGCTACAAAGGAGTCTCTTGGCTGGAACTCCACATTAGATGTTGCTGGTTTCTCAGTTGTTTGAGCCTGGTGATGAGCCAGCAGCTCTAAAAGAGCTGCTTTTACTCCAGCATGAGGATCCATCCCCGAAGAGCTACTAATTGAAGGTAAGTGTTGATTCGCTGTCCGATAATCAAGGTCTTCTTCAGTAACTGGTGGTGGTTCTGGTGGTTCGGGGGGTCGTTGATCTGGTGGCAAGATACGAGGACGTTCTTCTGGGGTTTGAGGTTTCATTTCAGGGGGTCTCACCAAGTCATCTTGTCCTAAATTAATTTTGAAATAGTTTAGAATTAAATATGCAGCTAGCACTACAGTTTAAGATTAAATATGCAGTTAATAATACAGAATATTTATTAAGTATTAAAAATCTGGATCAAGCAAAGTTGTGTTTGAACAAAATTATTTCTAGAAGTATGCTTCTCTATCCAAGTGTGCACCTGCTGTCCAAAACAATATTCTCCCAAAAATTCATTTAGCCCCATCCTGACTTTTGTCTTAAAAGGTCTTTTCTCTGATCTTAGACTAAAGTTGAGTATTATATGACTATGTTTAGAGTTGGGGAGAGGCGGAAGAAGGGGGCTAGGATTATTTCCAGATCCCTGTTATTGATTTTTTAATTGTTTTAATATTGCACTCTGTCCAAAGTCTCAATGGAGTCTGCCAGCCTTATAAATTTTAAAGTAAATAATACATAGGAAATGCATCTACCAATTTTCTCCAACTTTCTATTAGAAGTTCTTTTTGCCCTATCTCACATTATTCTTGAGACCTTAGACTTCCCATGAAAAAGCACATAGGATTTGAGGGTAGGAATCAACAAAGCTGAGGTGTAGATACCATTCTGCTCAATTTCCTCTAGAGCCAATTCAGAGTGTGAACACAGAAATGCATTGATCCTCTATTCTGGAAAATATATTTGTACGATGATTACAAATAACTATAAGTAAAAGGAAAGTATATGTATCAATGAAACAAAAATAAGGAAATTCTATAAATTCTTAATGCATTCTTCATTTGGTATCACAGGAGTTTTTGAAAAATAAGTTAATCTTCATTACAGAATATAATACTTTAACATGCCACTTAAGTCATTAGCAACTGAAGTATCCTAGCCTGTAAACCTAAGAAGAGAAAATTACTCAAAAAATAATTTCTCCTCCGACAGTTTGAGAGAAGCAATAATAAGACTGACATTCTCAATCATATAAATTGCCTATCTGCCTAAATTTACTTTTCCCAATACCAAAACTCATACCTGCACATGTGTATAATGATTTAATCAGATGGGGATAAACAGATGCCGGTGATTCTGCATCTTCCCAATTGCCAGATGCTGGTGTACTTGGCTCTGGAGGCTGTCTTGGTTGTAATGATATGTCATGTCCTGATCCATTTTCCTTTTCTTCTAGGAAATTTTCTTTTTGCTTCAATTGTTGAGCTTTTAATAACTGAGATAACAAAACTGTAAATGCACTCTGCACAGCTGCTTGGGTAACTTCTGTGTCAACTTTAGATTGGGTCAATGGAGTGGCTTGCACAGAAAGCTGTGATGTTGCTGTTTGTTTTAAAGGCTCTTGATCTGGTGAGGGAGGCAGTGGTGGCTTAGGTGGTGGCGGTGGCGGTTGTTGTTGCTGCTGTTGTTGCTCAGGCTGTTTTTCAGCCACATCCAAAATGCCAGGTGGAAGATTTATTTTATTTAGTTGTTGCTCAGTCTCAGGATTCATTTTAATGTTCAGCACTTGAGCAAATTGTGCCATATTAATACTAGTTTTAGACTGGAGCAGGTTTAGGAGAATTGCCACTTCATTTTGATTTAGTGGCTGACCACTGCCTGCTTTCACTGAAAGTAGCAAGAAAAAACAGAAAGGAAGCACTTAGTATGCTCATATTTAAGGTCCAAAGCAAAATTCAATTGACTATGACTCATTTCAATGACTACTTAAACAGTGGTTAGATCTGAAGGATATTCTTGACTTTTGCTCAGTGTGGGAGAATGAACATTTTGCTTTCATCCTAGAGGCAGAGTTTTACATATTTTTCAAGTTTTTCAAGTTAATTGGAAAATAAAGTTTATTTTAAAATGAGAACCACTTTTACTGTCTTCCACTTCACTTGAAAGTTCTGTATCTTTTTTGCAATCAATTAAAATATAAATAAAGTGATTTTATATATCTATCACATAGATTATATTTATATTTTCCAGCATTTACAGGGAATAAGGTGAACTATTTGTTTTTAAAATGTTATCCATCTATTAAATTTATATACTGCACATCTCACTATTGAGCGACTATGGGTGGCTAATCTGGCAAATTATATTTGAAAAAATAAAGCAAATAAATAAAGCAAAGTAAAAAGACTTTCAAATGTATATGTACAATATACATTTTTTAGGTACACTTTGAAACTAAGGTGCCTTTATACAAGAATGGGCAGCAAATAAATATAATAAAAAAATGTCTGAGGTAAGACAGAACAAGAATTAAAAACAAGGAGAAGGGATGCCCCAAGTTGCATCCTTTGCAAATCTTTCTTAAATAAAAGTTGTGTATCACCTTGAGTAAAGAAGCTGAGGGGAAAACCCAAGAAAAAAGAAATAATAAATATATTTTTGAAACACTAAGAATCTAAAATGTTGTGGTATTATTTTATCATTTTTATGTAATCTGTAGCTTTGGTCTGTTTTGTTGTGGGTAGCTGAAATCCCAATCTTTATGAATTCTGACTGGCCAGGAAATAACTGTTGATTTATAAAAATTCTACTCTTTGACCATAAGAGAGAGTTAAAGAAATAGAAGATGAACGAAACCAAGAAACATTGAATGTATCAGACTACCAGAGTAGTGAGAAGTATTTAAATTAAACAATATAAATCAACTATGTTCTAAGGATGTTACAAAAGAAGAGCAAGATAAACAAATTCAAGAAGAAAGATGAATAATTCAAAAGTGCAATTATGTGTAGAAAGTTACCAAACCACTGAAGCAATTCCACAAGTATTTGACTTAACTGCAATTTTGTAATATAAATGTGACACCAATGGTATAAATACAAACCTTCAGCACAATTGAAAAAAGAGTTCCAAGTAAATCTACAATCCTCAAGAGAACAAGTTTGGGACTTTTTCTTCATGGATACTCAGTTGAGAATCTCTTGAGAAAAAGTGAAGTTTATATTACTTGATAAACATCTCAGAGAAGAAAAAGATTTTATTCTTTGAAGACAAATTGGGGGTAGTAACGTACATTTAACAGGAGTTAGGATGGATTTTTACCGATCTGATATATGTAATCGAAAATTCTAATCTATAGTTTTGTGTTTATATGGTGTTTGAAAATGGGTTTTTTCTTACTTTGTCTTGAAATGTTTGAGTAATTTTAAAAGTTTGTAAAATAATAGTGAAAGTGTATTTTAAAGTATGCATGTTAAAAAAAGTTTTAAAAAGATGTACACTAAACTTCAATGACTTTAGAAATATTTTTAAAGAAGAGTTTGGAGTTTCAAAATAGATACAAAAATAAGTTTTCCCATTAAGGTTAAAGAATTTGAAAGAGTATAGTGAATTTTGTTACTATAAATGATGATAATCTACAAAGATTAATAAATGTAAATAGAATTACTTATTACTTCCCATAAGAGGAAAAAAGCAGAGAGAGCTTCCGGTGACGGCGGCGCCGATGGCGGCTGTTTTCAGCCGTCCACCCTGGAATGTGTCAAAGCCAGCTGAGACAGCGAGCAACAGCCGTCTCACGGCATGGAATCTCTCTCCCTGGGCAAAGGGGAGGAGATGAGTTTCCCTCGGATAGTGGCAGGGCTCCCTGAGAGACCCCAAAGTTTTTTTCTTTGGTGGTCGGTGGGTGAGAGCTCCCACGGAGTCTGAGGTGTTCTCCACATTCCAGGATGCCTTTGCTCTAATTTTTTTGGGGGGCAAAGCTAGACGCTGCTTACACATCTGCTTTTAAAATGAACTTGTGAGTAAAATTTAAAGCAGACAGAGCTGACCAGGGAGATTATATCTGTGATTATTTTGAGACTTTAACTCTGGAAAAGATTTCATCTTCTCTCTTTTCTTATTTGAGAGGGGTGAAAAATGGCGCTGAGATGTTGTTTTTAAGAGTGAAAGGACCAGAACTTCAATTTGAAACAATGTAACAGCTTTCTTTTTTTTTTCATATATACAGGGGGCTTTTGTCTTTTTTCCCCTCTTTTTGTTTCCTTTTTTCTCTCTCTCTCTTTGTTAAAGGTTTTATAAGATTTTAAGAGTTTTTTCTTCTTCGGTAATGCAGACAGTTCAGCAAGTTGAGTCTAAATTTCCACCACTTTTCTCAGCTTTACCAGCAGTTTTACCTAAAGACTTACAGGACGCTTTGGAAAATAGTGTACGACGGATTGAAAAAGAGATAAGTGAAATTATTGAAAATAAATTTAGGAAATTGAGAGAAGATATAGCGTCTGTGTTTCAGAAGTTTGCTGATCACATAGATCGTTTGGATCAGCCTATTGATATTGCTGTAGAAAATTCTGAAAAATTGGAATATAAAATAGAAAATAAGATGGAAATAATTCAGGATGAAATTACTATGTTACAATACAGAAGTATGGAGTTTGCTTTAAGAATAAGAGGAATGCAGGAAAATAATCAAGAAGATTTGAGACAAGTGGTTGCAAAGGATATAGCTCTTATTTTGGAATCCGAGCCTGAAGAAATATTGAGAGACACAGAAAAAGTTTTTAGGGTTAATTCAAGGGTTGCAAGACAGAGGAATCTGCCACGAGATGTGGTTATTTATTTTTTTAGTAGATCACTTCGTAATAAAATTTTACAAGCCTTTTACAAGCAGAGATTTCAAATTGCAGCTCAGGATGTTATACTCCTGAAAGAACTACCTTCAAGAATTCTCAAAGTAAGAAAGCATTTTGCTTTCTGGCTGATGAGCTTAAGAGGCGACAGATTCGTTTCTGATGGGAGATACTGGCTGGAATAGTGGGGAATTATGCAGGGACACGTTACAGACTTGATACAATTTTAAAAGCGAAAGATTTTTATACTTCTGTTTTGAAGGTGGGCTCTTTATTACCTACAGCTGAGATATTAGAAGAAAAATTGGAAGAGCAACCGATAGAAGATATGCAGGTTAAACATTTGCAACAATCTCTCTTGACAGAAGATTCATTAATGAAATTGAGTACTTGTGGAGCTTTTAGAAGTAAAATAAAGGTGGAAGAAAAGCTGGAAGAGCAGTTGATTGAAGAAAATATGCAGGTTGAACCTTTGCAGCAGTCCTCCTTAACAGAAGATTCATCAACGAAATTGGGCATGATTCGTGCAGCTTTTAGAAGTAAAATAAAGGAACAGCAGAAGGTTCTTCGTCATTTTCTAAGCAATAGATAATAGAAGGAGAAGTTGGAATACCAGCCGGCTAGTTATAAAGAGTTTTGTTAAATCTTTGTTATTTAGGGGAAAGTTTAAAATTATGATCTCTGCTTGGGAGAAGACTTGATAGGTTTTAATTCAGTGACTTAATATTTGAGAGTACTTATTAAAATTTCTAATAAATGTATAAAGTTAAATTTTTGTTGTTTAGGGGAAAGTTTAAAAGCTTAAAATTATGATCTCCGTTCGAGAGAAGAGTTGATAGGTTTTAATCTGGTGATTTAATATTTGAGAGTACCTATAATATATTATGATATATTAAAAGTGGATAAGAAGCTGTAAGGTTTTGATTTGGGAGAAAAGGTTATTAACAAAATTTATTTGGTTTTGGGGGGAAAGAGTTAAGAGCCAAGTTTATATTGTTTAAAAGAAATACACATCTCGGTGTGGAGAAGGTGGATAAATTATATGAAGAATAAATATGGGATTTAACGGGTAAATTATGATTAGAGCAGATATGATTAGAAGTATTGTTTGGATTATGAATAATTTTTGTTTTAAATTTGGAATTGTTTATTTGATTTTTATAGTTGATTTTCTTCAATTTGTTTAAATTTGTTTTTTTTTAATTTGTTTTGTATCTGAGTTAAAGTACTTATTGAGATTTAGTTTGTATTAGAAGTTAAAATAAATATGGGATTTAATGGGTAAATTATGATTAGAATAGATATGATTAAAAGTATTGTCTTGATCATGAATAATTTTTGTTTTAAATTTGGAATTATTTGATTTTTTTAATTTGTTTAAATTTGTTTTCTATCGGAGTTAAAGTAACTTACTGATTTTGTTATTTGTATACTTGGATAGGTTTAGTTTGATTTAGTTTGCATTAGTTAAAGCTAAGTAGATTTTGTTTAATATGTTTGAAAACCCTGTGCCAAGCTCTGGGAAGTGGGGGGGAGGGGAGGTTGGGGGTGGGTGGGTCTTTGGGAGTGGGAGGGAGGGGGGTTGGGGGGCAAGTAGGTTAGACGATAGGATTAAAGTAAGATAATAAGGGATAACTTATGAGAGAGATGTTGCTTGGGCATTTCCCCGGTACTGTATCCGAAGAGGGATGAGAGAGGAGGAGAAAGGTTAGGGAGGAAGTAGGATGGTGAGAGGAGAGGGGGAGGGGAGAGAGAAGTGAGGGGAGGGAGAAGGAGGAGGGAAGTAAGGGAGAGTGTAAGAGAGGGCGGATGCAGTTTGGGGGGGGTGGGCAAGCGACATCTAGGTGTATTTATTTTACTTTGTCAAATGTGAAATTTCTTCTTTTTTGTTTATGTAATTGATAATTGAAAAATAAAAACTTTTCTAAAAAAAGAGGAAAAAAGCAGAGATGGCTAAACTGATTGTTGTAATCAAAGAAAAGAACAATCTAATTTTGATTCTATTTAGAAACTGGTTCTGGATTGTGTGTATGAGATGGAAAAAATGAAACTTTAATTTAGGATTTTATTGATTAGATAGGTTTATTATTATAGAAGTGGCTAATATATATTACTGTGTAACAGTAACAAGTTGAGGCTTTAATGTTACTGTTTTCTATTGTGCTAAAAAGCATTGGAAGTCAATGCTTTTCTTTCTTTTTTTTTTCTTTTACTCTACACTTTCTCCTCTTCCTTTTTAACTCTCCTAGTTTCTCATTATTTTTATTTTCCTTTGTATTTTATATTATGATAAACTAATAAAAATGATATAAAAAATGAAATAGCTATTCCAAGGCAGAATCACTGCTGGGATATTTTTTGAATTATTAAATGGTTATTTTGAATGTATTTTGAATCTGAAATATTATGGACATCACAACTATTGAGGAAAAAAATAAAAGGATTTTTCTAATTTCAAGTCAAAATATGTTATTTACAGGTGGGTAAAACCTATGCAAAGAACAGCCAGATTTGGATTTTACCTGGAAAATATATTCCAGGCACAAATATTCTGAGATGGGAGATAATGGGGAAAATGCAATATCAACAGTACCAGCTAAAAAAAATATAAAGGGAAGGAAAGCAATAGAAAGGCCACAGAAAGAAGGGAGTATTATGCAAAGAAAAGGAGCAAGCAAGCTTAAATAAATGTACATTAATTGAAATAATAACTAGTGCTTAATATTACTTGCCTCTAAAATAAAGCTACCTATTTAAACATTAATTTCCATTTATCAAGCAATCTATCTCATCACATACTCTCCTTCTTTTTACTATAAAATAGCAAAAGGGAATAGTAGTTAATTGCACTGGGAAATGAAATCTAGGAAAGAAATAAAGTGGAGAAGTAATTGACAGGAAAAAAGAAGAAAAAAAGTCCAGCTAGGGCATTTATTATAAAATAGGATTCCTATTATAAAAAGTATCACATAAATCAGACAAATAGTATATACTAATTAATCTTCAGGACAACTTCTAAGTTTTGAAAGCCAGATATTTGGATTCTTTTGTACTTTATTTAATTTATTTCTTTTCCAGTGCTTCTTTTGGTCTAAATGGCCTCTCCTAGAAAAAAATAATGTCCAACTTGAAGTTACAGATAGTTTTCTATTTATGACCATAAGGAAGCCTGGAATTTACATCATAACATATAATGGTCATAAGTTGATGCATTCATGTGATCGACCAGTTTTAGAACATTTTTTGTAGTTGTTGTTAAGTGAGTCAATGAATTCTATGAGTATTTTTTTCCCCAGAAACTGACTGAAAAGGCCAGCTTCCAGTAAAAATTGCAAAAACTGTCACAGATTGTGTCATGTGACGACGAAATGCTGCAAAAGTGAAATCAGTTACCAAGCATCCAAAATGTGATCATGTAACTGCAGTGGGATACTGCCAACAGAATGTCAGAACTCTGTCATAAGTATCTTTTGGCAGATCCATTGTAACTTCAAATAGTCACTAAGCAAGCAGTCATTAAATGAGGACTACCTTATATTTGATTAAAAAAAATAAAAAAAAAATACCAAGGGCTATATTAGAGTTGCTCTGCATCTTCATTTGTGAAGAGGTCTGCAAACCCTGGGGTGTGTTGGCTCTGCTATCATCCATCCCCGAAGATAAATCCTTTCTTGGAACTTTAGCTGCATCATCAGTCATGCCCATTTGCTTTTGCCTTCTACGTTTCTTACTCCACAGTTCATGGCAATCTTGCCATAAAGGAAGACTATCAAGAAAAGAAATTACAGTTATTCAGCACAGAATAGTTACCACAAGGACCTTGAGTATCAAAATTTTAAGAAGCCAACTAAGAAAGAGAGCTTAAGAAACCATTATCTGGAAACAAGAGAGGCATGTCAACCTATCAGCCAGCTGACAGATCAAACCAGGATTTGGTCAAAACTATAAGGTTGTTGTTGTTTGTTGCAGCTTATGTACAGAACTTAGTACTAAGTACTATCAAAATTGACATACTGGGGGTACCTCTGCTGTTATTATTAAAGAGCTATAAAAGACTTAATATGTAGGCTTTTTAGGTTATGCTTTTACTCAGTATGCTTTTAGCTAATAATAAGGCTTTAAAAACCCTTACTTACTGAAGTGTTCATTGTCTCTGGATCAAAAAGAACTAATTATCCTGGCACCTGATCATTGTCTGACACTTTTCTACCCATTACCTATTACTTTCAGAAAATTAGGAAAAGGAATTCCACTAATTCCACTAAATGATGTGTGCGTATTATGTCATCATAAAATCTCATCTTTTTTTCCAACCATGCAAAATAGGCACTCAATCAATGTCACTAAGTTGCTCAAAACAAATGGGAGAAACTTGAGCACATCCTTGAAGATCAGATAAAATCAAGTGCTTAACTATAAGTGGGACTCATAAAACTAGTTTAGTTTTATGTTTAGTTTAAGATAAAGGAAACTAATTCCACTACTCCAAAACCAAATTTGGAGACAAGTGGAGCTGATCTTGATTCCATCATTTTCAGTTAAATAAAATATGTGGGCAAAAACAAAAAGACTGCTACTTGTCAGTTAGCTAAACTTATTGCTGTTTTTAAATCCTTTGTTACTGAGACATTAATAATTCAGAATTGTTGTGTGAATTATGTTTTTTAAGAAGGCTAACAAATACAAAGGTGTGCCTTGGGTAAGTTTGAAATATTTTCCAGATATATTTTTGCTGCTAAGTTCAAGTGATATGTTGAAGTGAACCCACTGAGATGCTTATTCCTTCACTAGGCTCAGTTCTATGGTTGTTGGTACTGTAAAATCTTTAGGAAATTAATAAATGCAATTTCAACAGTATGCTCATACAATGCAGTCATAATATGTAGTAAACTTTGATCCAATGTGTGACAAAAAATGATTATATATGTAGCATCTGACTTCTGCTAGTAGAAATGAATTTTATTTTGTAGAAAATAAACTCAACTAAGAAACACTTACTCTGGTGGAGGCATCTTTGAAGGGTCCACATCTCTCAGAAATTCACACTGAAGTGCCTGTTCTGCTGTGCAGCGTTTGCTGGGATCAAGAGCAAGCATGTAATCAAAGAGATCTAGTGCAGCTGCAGGAATACTGTAAAAACATAAATAAATGGAAGTCAAGAAAACAAAGTAGTGTTTATTCAAAGACATTAAAATTTGTCCTCCCTTTCAGACTTAGCATTTAAAGAAAGTTATATTGTTTCATTAACACAAAAAAATGTATGATGAGAGCTCAGATAACTGACATCTTTTTCACATAAACTAATATGTTCAGTTTTAATGCTATGCTATATAATCCATACAAGTTATCTATAGAATGCCATAGATAACTATGGATCAAAAAAAAAAAAAAGTAAAAATGGTATACTGGGCAAAAGTAATTTGCTTGACCAATAGCACAACCTGAACTGAACAATTAATGAACTGCATATGAGAAATGTAGATGAATTGATGAACAATCAGCAGACACTCAAAGGGGAATTGCTCTCAAAGATGACATTTCACAGGAATACATGGGTCATGTTATTGATTTTGTCACTATCAGAAGATTATACAAGATAGACTTCTGGTTTTTGCGCCATAGCGCACAGCCGCAGGATTGCAAAGCTCCACATCCCATGGCTGATTTTGTCCTGCCAGAGGACCCTAAATGGGTCTGAGGTTGCCCCGGAGAGGCAGCAAAGAAAGAGGGGTGCTCCATTGATCACGGAATGACAGCGGTCATTCCGTTTGATCCAGGGGAAGCTCTGACCCAACAAGAGAAAGGCTAGCTGCAGTGGAGTTTCCGGGTGACATAGTTGGTCCTAGACCATGGGACACAAACTCTCCGTGCCCAGGGTCCGAATTCTTTCTTTCTTCCTTCCTTCTTCCTTCCTTCCTTCCTTCCTTCCTTCCTTCTTTCCTTCCTTTTCTTCCTTTTCTTCCCCTCCTTATTAGTCCCTTCCTTCCTTCCTTCCCTCCCTCTTTGTCCCTTCCTTCCTTCCCTCCCTTCCATTGTTCCTTCCTTCCTTCCCTCTCTCATTGTCCCTTCCTTCCCTCCCTCTTCGTCCCTTCCTTCCTCCCCCCCTCCATGCCCAGGAAAGGACATGGGGAGGGGGACAGGCTGCCAGAGGTAGAGGAGAGCTCCGCCCAGGTCACTTGCTCAGCTTCGCCAGAAAACATGCCGCTTGCTAAGTTAGCAGAAGCCCCAGGATCAGCACCGGGCTACAGCTGATTCGCGCTTCTGTAAATTAGCAAGTGGCATGTTTTCTAGCAAAGCTCGAGCAAGTTTGCTGGGCAGGAGCCAAGGAGAGCAGCTACAGCTGACCTGCTTCTTGGCTGCTCTGCAGAAGCGCGGATCAGCTGTAGAGGTTCGCCCTGATCCTGGACAAGAGGGAAGGAAGGAAGGGACAAGGGGAAAGAGGGAGGGAAGGAGGGACAAAGAGGGAGGCGAAAGGAAGAAAGGAAGGAAGGAAGGAGAGGAAGGGAGGGAGGGACATGCGCGGCGCGCATGCATGGCGGCGCCATGTGCGACGCGCATGCGTGGCGGCGCCCCATGCACGGTGTGCATGCGCAGCATGGCGCACATGCGCGGTGCTGCCAGCTGACAAAAAATGGCGGATCGCGTTGTTTGGCGACCCCCGTGAAATGGTCGTTCGACCCCAAATGGGGTCGCGACCCACAGGTTGAGAACCGCTGCTCTAAAGGGTTGCAATAAAATTATAAAAAAACAATAAGAATAATTTCTTGCCTGAAAAAGCTGGAAAACAAACAACTACTGACACCTAATGGAGAATTAGAATATAGCACATTAACAACAACACCCAGAAACAAAGAAAAATCTTTGTTTGGATGCTACTTATTATCATATTTGGTGGTCGTGTAAAAATATAAAAGTCTTTTGGATTAAGATATGGTGGAATATTCAAATAATTTTTAGAAAGAGGGTAAAATTTACCCCACAATTGTTTTTGTTAGGTATTGTTACTGATTGTGATGCTAAGGAAGTTATATTGATGTTAAATTTGATTACGGCCGCTAGGCTATTAGTAGGGCAATATTGGAAGAAGGAATCTTTGCCTACCTTGCAAGAGTGGTTTTTTAAAGTTTCTTATTTGGCGGAAATGGCAAAGATTTCAGCTTTCTTAAAGGAGCAATCGCAAGAGAAATTCTTTGCGGTATGGGAAAAATGGATAAATTTTATACAATATAAATTGGATATAAAAAAATACCATTTAGCTTTCTAATAACTTGTATATAAATTTTAATATTTTATAGATTGTACTTTTTTATATCTCTTTTCTTCTTTCTCTTTTTTTTCTTTTTTATTATCTCTTTTTCTTTCAAGTACTTTTTCCTTTTAATACGTATGTTTTTTTACATATATTTTATTGTTAATTACTTTACAAATTGTTTATGTAAGGTATTTAGATATATTTATGATTTATACTTTTTCAATTCAATTTTTTTTAAGATTCTTAAAAATTTTAATTAAGCCTATATTCAGCTCTGGGAAGATTGGGGGGATGGAGAGGGAGGGTTGGGATGGGTGGGTTAGGGTTGTTTTTTTTGTTTTTTGTAAAAATATCTAAAAATTTTCAATAAAAAAAAAACAAAGAAAAATCTGTTCCCTTTAAGAAGACAGCTGCTGGGAACAAAGAGAAGAATACATACTGGGCCAGATATAAGATTAGAAAGTGTCTGAAGGAAAAGAAATACTTTGATTGTTGTCTAAACTCAAGAACAATTTTGATTCTTGACTAATCTTTTAGGGGGGAATTTACAGGAAGGATTCAAGGTGGCTAAATATACTGAACTGCAATTTTGATTGATTGACACTGACCCCTGAAAGAATTGTTACAAAACATTGATTTTACTAAAAGCCTTTACAATTGGAAAGTTTATAAAAACTATATATAAAGAATATACAAAACTGGACTGTTTGGATTTTGAGTTTTGGCTGGTTCAACAAGGCAAATTACAGAGACTATGATACTGATGACGGATTGTTTGAAGGGGGGAGACAACAGGGATATGACATACTTATCAAAAAATGACAGAAAACCACATTTAATATTACTCCTGAAGGACTCAGCCTGGAATATCGAAGACCTCCAGAAGCAACATTTCAAGACAAGACAAATATTCTCCAAGAGGAAATTTATGTAATGTTACGACAAATACAAATGACAATAGCCTTAAACCATGAGGAAATTAAACACAACTTTGTTGACATAAATGAGCGCATTTCTAATCTAAACTCACAATCAAAAAATGCCCAGAAAATGATGGTAAAGAATGAACAAACAAATCAGATAATAGAACATAAACTAGAAAAAATGACTTAATCAGCAAAGCTCCAGATGAAGAGAATTATAATTTAATACAAACAGGAAAAAACTTACAAGACTTGGACATAACAAAAATGGAAAAGATAGTTTATTCATTAGAATGTCAAAATAAACCTGAGGACAAGAAAGAAGACTTAACAAAATGGCCACTGCCAAGAGAATCATTGTTTGGGAGACAAAAAGCATATATTTTACATACTTTGTCTTCTCCACTCGCAACATTACACTTACAAAAATACATGAACTTCCTGGCAATCCAAAAATATCATTTGGAAAGCTATTTGGCAAAAGAAGAAGGCCAGAGATAGATTCAAGAGATTTGAGTCACCCTATTAGATGGAGTATTACACAAGAAAACACTTGTTTGAATATGGTTAAATGTACAGAAAATTTTGGCTATAAAGGGGCCTTACAATAAGAGGGATAAGATATATAAGTAGCATAGTATTTTTGATAATATATAAAATGTAAAAATATTGGGATGATGTATGTGAATGAAGAGTTTGAATTTCAGAGATAAATTAAGTTTGAAGAGAATGATTGAAATATTGAGGGGAAATTAAGCTTAAATAAGAACACTGAAAAAAAGATATATAGTGATTTTACAAATTAACTTTTACAAATATAAGTGAAATATAAATCTATCAGAAAATATGTTATAGGTAGATGTCATAAGATAGATAAGCAGTATAGTATTTTTATAACATGAAATATGAAAACATTGGGATGATGTATTTAAATGGAAAATTTGGATGTTTAGATGTTAAATACTGAGAAAATTATGACTGATAAGAATTGTTTGAATATTAAGGAGAAATTAAGTTTAAACAAGATTTATGAAAATAGGATATATGGTGAACCAATAAGATGATTTTTATAAAAATAACACAAATTGATAAGAAAAAAAAGTCACATATGGACACTATTATTGTTAGCACAAACATGGAAGAAAATGTTCATATTTAAGCATTTATGCATTGAAAATATTAAAAATTATATTTTTTTAAGGTTGAAGAAGGAGAATACTATTGGGAGAAGAGAAAATGAAAGAAATATATTATTAATCAATATACTAATTATGGAAGTATAAAAATTGATTGTGTATTTTTTTTAAAAAAAAATTATGAACCAAGACAACACACTGTACACCAGACACTAAAGATTGTTATTGTAAAAAATCAATAAAACATTTTTTTTAAAAAAAATGATTATGCAAGATAGGTTCTTTTCATGTTTAATGACAGAGATGAATGCCATAAGAACTGAAATTTGTCAGCACCTATTACCATTCTATAAGAATAAATGTCAGGAATTTCAAATTCTTTACAACACTGTAACAGCTGATCAAATATGGGTTCATAATTATGATCCAGAAACACATTGTTAGTCAAAGCAATATCATATAGAACAGTGATGGCGAACCTTTAGAGATCGAGTGCCCAAAAACTGGCCCCACCCCGCTCCATCCCCTGCCCCGCCCCCACCCCGCCTGCCCGCAAGGCCACTCACCACCTCCAGGACCTGCCGCAGATCGCCCAGGCAGCCCAGCAGCGCCATGGTGGCTACGCCCTATCCGCGCCCCGCAGCATCAACTGTGCGCGATGGGGCATGAGGGCAGTCTTGTCTATGCTGCCTGGCTGATGTGTCCTTGGCTGTGCTGCTCCGCGTGGGCCACGCTCGGGGGCAACTCTCCTCCAGGGGGGGCTGCTGGTGAGGAGGGGATCGCGGGGGAGGCAAGGCTGGGGCAACGACACGTGTGCCCACAGAGAGGGCTCCAAGTGCTGCCTCTGGCACACGTGCCATAGGTTCGCCACCACTGATATAGAACTTCACTCATGAGGAATAAATTCAAAACCCAAATTTGGACCAGAAAATTCATGGTTACCATTTTGGGGGATGTAAATGATATTTACATTTAAATGATCACATAGATTTCTTGGAATCTGTCACCAACACCCAAAACATCAATTAAAGAGTTCAGAAGTAAAAGAAGGAAATTTTGTTATGATATTTTGCTCCAATCTCCTGAGCCACCCAAGCAGCAATTGCAAATGCCATATTTTCTAATATTGAAGGAATATTTTTATTAGCATCTTTTTTTACTCAAAGAGGCAGAAAGGACTAGAAACTGGAGAGATAGGATATGGAGTTATTTTGCAGTGGCTTTAAGATGCTCATCCATCATTGACAGAAGTGTGTAACAAATGGTGGAATTATGTAGGTAAGTAAATACAGATAACTAAACGGCTGATTTCAAGGATTATTTTCCTGTTACATTCACTAAAATATCCTTATTTATCAAACTGATATGGCTACACATCTCACAAGTTACTCTGGGAAGCATACATAACACAGAGAAAATAGTGTTTGTCTCAGAGAATATCAACTTAACTAAATAAAGACCATTTTTCAATTTTTTTTTTTCGAATCATACAAAAATATGTGTAGAGACCTAAGAAAATGGTTTAAAGTAAATATCCACAGCCCACATAAAATAAAGGCAAAAGCATTTCTCTGAGAAGGCTTGGGAAAAGGCTCAAACTAGATGAAAGAGAACGTAAAATACAAGCAGAAGTGCAAGATTGTATTACTATAGCCTATCTCAATAAAAGTTAGTTCCATTCTTTCTGTGGTTTCCTGATCTAGTCTACTTTATAGGGCTGTCAATAAAGGCAGGAATGCCTTTTAATGTTTATACTACACAGATACAGAATACAAAGATCATAAAGAACAGAATAAATTCAAGAATAGGAGAGAAAACATATTATATTTAAATAGTTAAATTCTTACAAAGCAAACTCTTCCCTCAGTCTTCGGCGATACTGCTTCTTTGGTTTCATGGTATTGAAATACGCCAATTTTATAACATCAGGCCATACTGCAGGACAAGGACTTCCACATATGCGGCTATGTAAAAACAATATATGTCATAAAATGAAAAGTACCACAAAGGTTATTGAATCAAACATAGATTAAATTAAAGCAATGCCACTCAAATCTACACAATTAGAGATACTTAAAAAGATCAAATTAACATTAAATTGTAAGAATACCCCACCAGTAAAGAATTTCTGTTTGCCTAATAAAACTATAGATCAGTGATGGCGAATCTTTTAGAGACCGAGTGTCCAAATTGCAACCCAAAACCCACTTATGCATCGTCGGGTGCCAAGTCAGGTGTGACCCATTAGGTGGGCGTGGCCCATTGGGTGGGCGTGGCTGCAGTGGTAACGGCAGACTGGATGGGAGTAAAAAGTTCAATCAATCAATTCCAACTTTGCAAGATTTTTTTTCCCGTGAGAAGTTGAAATTGACTGATTGATTGAACTTTTTTTTTTTTTTTGCACACGATGGTGGAGGCCTAAAGCGAAAAGGTTTTATAAAACACAGCTGAAGGCCTAGGACAGGGACGATGGCAGCATGCCCACAGAGAGGGCTCTGAGTGCCACCTCTGGCACCCATGCCATAGGTTCGCCACCACTGCTATAGATTGTTGGGTACAATATTTTCTCTTCATTAAAAAGTACTGTGATAGAAAGAAGACAAAAATTGTTAAGTACTTTAAAAGCACCATTAAATTTTCTGAGTTGAAATCTATAATCACAGTGTGTTGCAACTCCAGTTCCTCACTTTTTAAATAATCATTTGTTTGTGTAAAGTTTTTTTTTTTTTTGTAAAATATGGCAAGTAATATATTTTACCTAGATTGGGAGAAATAATTGGAGACTATTTGCTGAAAAGTACATTTTTCAGAGACCTAGGATATACTGACCTTATCAGTTCCAGCTGAGCAAGTTCCTGATTTGCTTGAAATATTGGCTTTTTAGTAAAAAGTTCACCCAGGATACATCTACAAAAACAGAGCAAATAATTCTAGGAAACTATGGGTCCAAACTAAAAGTCCCTAACCCAAATACATTTCCCCAGGGAAACGAAACACTGCTCAGCTTTATGGTATCAAATTATGCAATTACCCTTAATAACACTTTCCCAGAAAAACTACTCTCAGCTTAAAATAGTTAGAAAGCCAAAAGTTCGAGAAAAACAGAAGCAACTCCTAAAAAAAACTATATTCAGAAAATATTTTGAAATCTTTGAAAACCCTACTTTATTTGTAGTCCTGTTTCACTACATTGTAAGTACACTATAATGACCTCATTAACTCCATTAGGCACATACCATGTTTCCTTGAAAATAAGACCTGGTCTTATATTTTTTCCCTCCAGAAGATCCATTAGTTTTTATTTTCGAGGAATGTCTTATTTTTTTCCTGACGCCTCATGGTGGTGGCACTGACAGCCCCGTCAAGCAGGAGCCCATGTGGCCACAACCAGCCCACTTCTGCAGCTGCTTGTAGCTGCTCATGGCAGAGGCCATGTAGTGTGCCACGCCAGTGCCACCATCACAAGGCAAGGCAGGTGAGGGAGGGGGTGGAGCTGCCCCAGGCACCCCACACCCGCTTAGCTCAGGGCCCATGCAGTCAGACCTCCCACATCTCAACACTGCCTTGCAGTGGCAGCACCAACAGCCCTGTTCAGCAGGTGCGTGTGTTGCCGCTGCTGGCCCATTTCTGTGGCAGCTCATAGATGCTTGTGGCAGGGGCTGCGTGCTGCGCTGCACCATCACAAGGTGAGGCAGGTGGGTGGGAGCTGCCCCAGGCACCCTCAGGGCCCCCTCAGCCCCATGCCTCACCACCTGCCTTGCCTTTTAGAAATCCAGAGCTAAATGGTACAGAGGCAGAGGGGCAGATGGGGCAAAGCTGGTTCACCAGATTTTTTTTTTTTAAAGGTGGGTAGTGATTCCCTTTCTTCCACATAGGATCTTGCAGAGCCGCGGTCTAGGGTTTTTGGCGGGCCAAGTGTGGCATTCCAGCCCTTTGTATACAAACCACACCCACAGGCAGCCTTCTAAAGCGGCCCCTGCTTCTTCCCACTTACAGCCAGCAGCTGGCTGGGTTTTCTTCTGGCCTTCCTTCGCCCAGGCCAGCAGGAACTGCTGCCAGTGCTAGTGTTCTGACCCAGCCGTCACAAGTAATGAGAAACCGCTTACTCATGAGTAAGCAGAGTTCATGTTGGGTAGACAAAATCAAAAAGTAGTAGTCATAAAGGAAAATCTTTCCCCCTTCTGACATAGGGCAAGAATAGTCTCAGTTTACTTGAGAACTCCAGATAGAAAGTCTTTCAAGGATTAAGCCAAGCAGAAACAGTCCCTGTTCACACTGGCTGAGGAAAATTCACTACCTATTAGTTCCCAGAAGGAGTTTCGCTCCTAACTAACATCTCCCATGCCCAGTTGATCTTGATCACTTGGGAGCTGTGATGCTGCCGGCCCCCTTCCTCTTGCTTTCCCCATTCTGCATTCACCCTGCCTGCCTGTCACCAGTTATGTTCAACTATGATGAAGCCATCGCTTTCCTAGGTGAATGGACCCCTTCCAGAGCCTCATCTTCTTTCGGCTCAGCACCAGCATCATTCCCAACAGCTACATGGGGCTGTCCACTGTCTTCTTGGCAGCCACTCCCGAGCACTGGTGCCGGATACTCACTAATGCCAACTTGAATATGGTATGGCTCAAGGCTAACATCCCTCTGAAGAAGCACAGTGGGTGGCAAGTGCAGCTGCTATCACCTCAAGGCCCTGCTCTACTTCTCCTCCAGGAACCTGGAGCCGAGCCACAATATCAATCTCAGCCACTGTCACCGAGGTAGGCAAATGCATGCTGACTTTTGGAGCGGGGGGAGATGATGGAGGTTGACAGTGTGACATCTTCCCAAGAGATCAAGATCTACCGGGCATGGGAGATGTTAGTTTAAGAGCAAAACTCGGATTCAATCCCTGCACCCTACAAACAAAATTTGTAGTGTGACTTCGAGGCTGTTTTGCAGGACAGATGTGGATGTGTTGAGGGGGCGACAAGCAGGCAGGGCGAATGGAACCTGCCAAGGAATGACCATGGCCTGAGATGCTGCTCTCTCTGTCCTGAAGGACGAAAGAAAACCCAGCCAACCGCCAGCTATAAGTGGGAAGCAGGGGCCACTTCAGGAGGCTACCTGAGGTGTGGTTTGTAAACAAAGGGCTGGGGCACCATACTCGGTCCGGGCCACAGCTCTGCGAGTTCTTGTGCAGAAGAAAGGGAATCACCGCTCACCTTTTTTTAAAAAATAAATCTGGTAAACTAGCTTTGCCCCATCTGCCCCTCTACCTCTGTACTATTTAGCCCTGGAATTCTAAGAGGCGAGGCAGGTGGTGGCATGTGGGAGGCCTGGCTATGGGGCCGAGGTAAGCAGTTGCAGGGTGCATGGGATAGCTCCCCACCTGCCTTGCCTCATGGTGGCAGCACTGGCACATTGCACCATATGGGCTCCTACTGGACAGGGCTGTTGGTGTCACCGCTGTGAGGCAAGGCAAGATTCAGGACATGGGAGCCCTGAGGTAAACAGGTGTGGTGGCATGGGGCAGCTCCACCTCCTCACCACCTTGCCTTGTCCCACCTTGTGCAACCAGACAGTGGGACAGAATGGGCGGAGTCTTAACTAGGGCTTATTTTTGGGGTAACGCTTATATTAAGTGCACATGTAAAAATCATGCTAGGACTTATTTTCTGGATAGGTCTTATCTTCAGGGAAACATGGTAATGCTGTTGTATCCAGTCACATTTTACGTGCATAAGAATAAACAGGGACTGCACTTCTTTTTAGGACAATCTAGAGATAATCTCCAGCACTATCAATAAAACAATTGCTGCTATGGTGTAATGTATCCTGGTCTCTGGTTCAAATGTACCCTTAAAACATTATACCACATGATCTGTACCTTTTTCCAAATTACTTTGCTGCATAAAGTTCATTAGCAAAAAATGCCTCACCCACAGCTCCAAACATCAATGGCAGGTGTGTATCGTTCCTCTCCTAGCAGAAGTTCAGGGGGACGGTACCATAAAGTGATAACTTTGTTGGTATATGGGCGACTGGGGAAAAAAAGAGAATATTTTTGCATTTGTATTCAAACATAATTTCCCATTAAACATTTTTCCAAATCATGTTATCAAAATGAATTAAATCATCCTATATATAGCCTTCACGCTTACTTTTCAATAGAATTACAGATTTCTTTCCCAAAATTTATCTTCCTAAATTGGTACTAATCTATTGGGAATCAAGTGGAATATACATTTTATTATTATTTTCTACACAACAGCATGAAATAAAAGCAACCATTTTTTTTAGCTTATGTTGATCTTTATATGAATCAAATTCTTCACAAGAACTTAGGATATTGTAATATATTGGCAAGATCCAAAAAGTATGATGTTTTGTAACTGACAGATTGAATGCTTAAATGTCAATGCGTAAATTCTCTAAGTACCATGCCAATAAACATTAGGACTACCACAGCCCATTTATGCCATAAACTTTCCATTTTGATTTTCAGATCAAAATGTGATCTTTTGTGATGTTCTCCAATTTTTTGTCCTTTGTTCTATTATTGCCTGCTATTGTTACATCAGTTATTCAGTTTCTTCTTTTCAACTACAGTTATATCTAATATGTTATGAGTCAGATAATGCACCAGTTTGTATTCTGAAATCCCATAATATTTTAACCTGCTATTTTCAAGTACTTTTTCAATTATATTTTCCCACCAATTTTTCATTTCTGGCACATGATAATTTTTGCAGGTGTTCCAGTAAATAATTTTGGCAACTGTCTTATGTCATTTATTATAACTGTGATCACATATCATGTGAGCTGGATATATGTTCTACTGCATCTATTGCCTACTACACAATTTGTACTTTGAGCCATTTGACAATTTTTCAATTCTGGCCTTGACAACATTAATTTGAAAAACTTGTTTTTGAGCAAACATATTAAAAGCCTTCAGTTTCTTTTTAAATCTTCCAGTTCTAAGTCATTGTCAGGATTTATCTTTATCTACTTTCCCCATGATCTTTTGTAGATGTAAGTTACATTACAAGTAATACTTTTGCTTGCCAGAATTTTGTTCACCATTTCATTAAATTATTTTGATATTCACTTTTTGTTTTCTGTACAAGTCAAAAGTTCCAATTTTTAACTTGCATCAATGCTTCATAACTAACTTTTATGTATTTTACATTTTTCTACAACAGTTTAACATGAAGTAATTGACAGTTTGAGATGAAGTAAATATATTATAGTTAATCACACAGTCAGTCAGATATTTATACTGGAATTGGCATTTTTATCCACCTATTGAGTCCTTTCCAAGGACCTGGGATGGCCAGGTGTTGATGTTTTAGGGTGTTAAAGGTACTGTCAAAGGATGTTAGCTGATCCACATAAATTTGCCTTTTGCAACTGGCCAATGGTAACTTTGTCAATGCTGATGGTGTTCAAGTGATGCTTCAGTTATTTTGGGATTACATCCAAGTCACCTATTATTATTGGTACTACCTTTCCTTTCTTTTGCCACTGTCGTTCTATTTACAGGCTTTTGTACTTTGTGTCCCCCCCAGGTTCTTTCTCTTCTCTTCTATTGTCTCCATGTCCACTATCCAAACTTTTTTGTCTTTCTTATTTTCTGTCTGTTTGTAATCAGCCTGTGATCTTCTTGCAACAGCAAACTAGATAGTTCACTATTTCTTCCATTTCTGTGCAGAGCCTTCATTTGCTGTCTGTGGCTGTCTACTCAATTCTGCTTTGTATGCATTTGTTCTTAAGGTTTCATTTTGTGCGGCCAAAATTACCCCTCTTTTTTTCCCTATTCTTAGCCATTGTCATGTGTTGTTATCTGCTATGCTTATTTTTTTTCTATAATGGCTGTGTAATAGTCTGCCTTGCCATGACTATTTTCTACTCACTTAGTCTTTCCTTTAGGCCAGTTTGGCCTCAGCAAGCCTTCCTGGTATACTAGCTTCAGTGCATCTTCTTCATTGTCCTTCAGATATTCTTCCAATGCCCTTTACTCTTCTTCATCTGTCTAGTGTACTTACAACATTCCATGTGCACTTATTTTTCCTGGAAAGCTGAATCTGTCAACATCACCGCATTGACAAAGAGCATGATTCATTGTCATTATTTTCCAGGGTTTTTTTTGTTCTGTATGAATCTAATTCACCATTCCATCTGTGTATATAGTGCAATTGCCCGGATGTTAATCAGCTTGATAGTATGAGTTTGAACTTTAAGATCTTCCTCATTCTCACTGTTGTATTCATTTCTGGCCTTTATGACTTCCGTGTGCCTAATATTGTCAACTTGAAGAATATCAAGGTATTTGTCTTCAGCCAGATTCTTGAAGTTATTTCCATAAGGCATTGATTACTTCAGTATTCACCATTTCCCCCTTTATATTTATTTGACTGATTTAAGAAAATTTATATGGATAAAAGCTCAATAAAAAAGAATTAAAAAAGAATAGCACTTTCTTCAAATGCAATTACATTTTTATACAAAGTAACTGAGTGGTCTATGATTGGTATTATTTCCTTAATCAGTTTCCATGGAAGAGTAATTCTGACCTCAGAAAAGGATGTCTTAGTATGTCACTGGATGTCACTGCTGTTGGTCAGGTTTCCTTTCAAATTAAGATCAGGGCTGAATCAAGTTTTGCTACCCAAAGCAAAAGCCAATATGGCATCCTATGCTATGTACAAAATCAGTCAGACTGTTGGTCATATTTTACTTCAACATGACTGTATGATAGCCTGACACTACTGAGATCAACAGCAATTTTAGGAAATACAAATGAAGCTACCACTATATTATAATGAGCCCCTATTCTTTAAGAGTTTGCCACTGTTTTTTAGCACATGGTATTTTACGTAGAAGACTGCACCTAAAAAGTCTTATATTATGATACATAGAAAAATATTCCATTACACAATAGAATGTAGTAAATTTAGTACAGTGGTCCAATGCAGAAAGATTTTTACTACAGCCCTCATTTAGAAACTGCAATTGGGACTCACAACTTGCTTGCTAAGTAAATCAATCACTAAGTGAAAAATAATATAATCACTATTGTGCTTACAATTTTGAGCTTTTTTTTCCTTTAGAGAATCAGAAGGATATGAACCCAAACAGCCAAATGAACCCAAACAGCAGGGAAGATTTCCAGAACTAGATTCACAAGGAAGCAGAGTAAAAGAGCAAATCTTACAGCACTCCCCTGACCTTTGGAATTATCACGCTGGCACTGGCATAATTAGCAAGAAGAGATTCTATGCTTATTTATATATTTATTAGAGATGAAGGGATTGCAAGAGAGTGAACAGGCAAATTATGAGGAATATACACAGAAATGACGGTTTTGGTGCAGACTGTTTGCCTTAGGAGCAAAAAAAAATCACTCCTTGGTATGAAATTGGTTTTGTTTTAACAAACTAAATAAGGTCACAAAGCTGAGCTGGTTAACTTGCCATCAAGCATCTTTTAGGGATGTGCTGCAATGCAGAAAAAAACAACTCAGGAAATTATAGCTTCTTTAGGTAATCTCCCACTCTGTGAGAGTGGAGTAAAGGAAAAACAAAAGAGATTAGACACAGGACAACAGGTATTAACTGGTTGTAATGGAAAACTCATAATTAAGAGAGATACTGCATTTGTCATTAATGCAGGCATTGGTTCCAAAGTTACTTTTTCATCACTGTCACAACTGTGAAAGGTCACAGTCCAAGGCAGTCACTAAACAAGGACTACCTGTATCTTCATGATAACTAGGCGATTGAGTTAATGCACTGGTGCTACCAACTAATTATCTCCATTTATATTTTACAAGAATCAAGGATTCATGTTTCCAGTTGTATTCAGATTTTTACACTGCATCTGAAGTACTATTGCCAAAAAGGTATACATTTTTTAATTATTGTGCAAAGCCATTACAATAAATTAAACAAAACTGTGCAATACACTTTAGATAATATTAAATAAAGATATCACTGTGGTGGAACACATGCCAGTCGCAGAAAGGTGGGACTCTTTTCCAGCTAAGAAGCATAAAATCTTTGGTATTTAATAGTTATGAGATAAGTGTTTTAGTCTGGCAAAATTTATGTCTACAGGCAAGCAGCAATAAAAAGAACTACTTTGAAAGAACTCATGTTCTTCTTGCTTCCTTTTCATATTATGAAAAAAAATCCTATAAAAAGAACTATAAATTAATGTTTGCTAATTTAAATCCATTGATTGAAAGTAGCTATCTTAAGTATAAGATAAGTTTGAAGCTAATCTGGTGTAAACCAACTTAAAATTAAAATGTTTAAATTAAATGTTAAATTTTAATTCAGATTAGAAAACATTAAAATAATAAGTATAACCACACATCCTTAAAGGTCATGGAAGAATTTTTTTTTAAATTCAGCATCTTTTATTACATTTTAAAGTTTTGTTTATAAGATATTTTCAGAATATTTCCAAAACAGAGACACATAGTTTTAGATTAATATTAAACTTACCTCTCTTCAGAGCTGTACAGTCGAGCAAGACCAAAATCTGCAAGCTTGATCTGCCCTCTAATGGAAACAGTAAATTTTGTTTAATGTACAATTGAATAATGTCCATAATAATTATATTTAATTCAATTTTAAGGGATTTTTTTTTTTGCCTTGGACCCACACAAAACTCTTTGCAGTTCAGTCCTCATGCATAAACTTCAAAACCTAAGTTTCACACATGAGTTCTGTTCTCATGATTTAGATGCTACAAATATGCAGTCAAAAATGAGAAAAATAAAGCATTAAAAAGTAATAAATCATTTTAATACTTAAAAACATTTTACTGTAATGATATAAGATTAAATATCCATTGATTTCTATAACTTAATGCTGCAATTATCAATATTTTTAATATCTACTACATGCCACTTTTTAACTAGTTCTCAAACTGCTATATACCTAAAATATTTTAAAAGCACAGAAAATACAAATATAATAAATATTCATAGAGCAGAAAAGAATTTCTAAAAATTACTATAGAATTTACTATATGTGTGTGTATGTATGTGTGTGTGTGTCTATATGTGTGTGTGTGTGTGTGTGTGTGTGTGTGTGTGTGTGTATGTGTGTCTTTAATAATGTTAAAAACAAGAATCCTGGGTATACACGTATCGTGGCAGTAATAAAAGTATCCGAACACCGGGATAAAACACCAGGGGAGCAACCTTGGAAGCTATGGATGCATTGACAAGCACGGGCCCTTTAAGAACAGCATGGCCGGTACTAATGAGTGGACAAATGACCCATTCAAGGGTTAGAGCACAGAGGCGGCCAGTTATATAAACTAAATCCCGGATCTGGCGTTTTTGCACTCTGACGATGTTGGTAGTTTGGCCGATGAAAGCTTAGTACTTTTTGTAGATTAAACAGCTTTGGTTTAAGACTTTTATCCTGGTGTTCGGATACTTTTATTACTGCCACAATATATATATAATAAACGAGTTGATACCTCCCGCCTACCAGCCATTTGGAAACCCGCCCTTATTGACAAACAACTCCCTAACACAAAGAATGACACCAGACCCACACTCACAAAAACCACACGGGATGTCACCACCACACATCCACGCAAAAAGCAAACCCAAAGCCACACTGATGATGAGGCACGACCACAAACCAGAAGCCAGACCACAGCTGCATCATTAGCCACTTTAAACCCCTCCAATCCATACATGAAGCAAACTGACACCCACCATGAAGATGAGGCACGACCACGAAGCCAAAAAATAGCAAGGCAGCCCACCATCTTAAACCCCCCTGCAACTCAGACTAACCTGAGCACAACAAAGCCCCCACCCAAACAGAACACTCCCCCAGCCAATCAGAGCACAGCCAACCCTTCAGCCAATCAGAGCACACACAAGCCCCTAACCAATCAGAACACACCTCCACCCAATCAGAACACAGCCAAGCTCCTACCCAATCAGTTCATACCCCCACTGGCAGTTAAAAGGAAGAAACAGCTAAGACCACACATTACTCCTCGAAGCACGAAGCTGAAAACACCAGCCTGAAGATGACGAATGGGACTTCGTCGAAACGTTGCCAAGACACTTCCAATTTTACGCGGGAGAAAACCCGAATAACCAAAGACCTACATATGTGTATGTGTGTGTGTGTGTGTGTGTGTGTGTGTGTGTGTGTGTGTGTATATATATATATATATATATATATATATATTGCGGTAATAAGGAGCCACCTACAACAAGAGGAAGGGCGACATCAGGACTCACTCTGCACCGAGGACCTCATCCAACATGAACCTATGCCTTAAAACATATTTTACATTCCAGGGCACCATCTACGAGCAGGTGAAAGGCACGCCGATGGGATCCCCAATTTCGGGAGTCATTGCGGAGGTGGTCCTGCAACAGCTCGAAGCTGAAGTGATGTCCATGCATCACCCCAAATTTTGGGTTAGATACGTGGATGACACTTTTGCTGTCATCAAAAAGCAAGATAGCGCCAAGTTCATGAGAGATTTAAATTCAGTTTACCCAGACATTTGCTTTACAGCAGAGGAAGAAATCAATGGCACACTTCCTTTTTTAGATGTCCTAGTCAGCCGTCAGCCTGATGGCACTCTCCACACTATCGTCCACCAAAAACCAACGCATACAGACAGAATTTTACACTACAGGAGTAATCATCCCATGTCACACAAAATAGGCTGTATCAGAACACTATTTAAGCGTGTGAACACTCACTGCAACACGGATAGGGCAAAAGTTGAGGAGAGGAATCATCTATACCGTGTTTGCAAACAAAATGGCTATCCATTTGATTTCATCAGACGATACAGCAGACCATATGAACCTCGCAGAATACAACACACAAGCACCATTATGACATGGGCAACTCTGCCATACTTCAATGGGGTATCAGAGGCGATGGCACGAATATTGGCACCATATAACATTAGTATTGCCCATAAACCAAATCAAACCCTTCGTGCCAAAATAATGCGCCCCAAAGATCCACTCCCCAATGAAGAAAGATCTTCAGTGATATATAGTGAAATGTAAGGGAGACAACCAAACGGCTTGGAACTAGAATCCATGAACACAAACTGGCCATTAAACGACATGAGCAACGTTCGCAGATGTGGGTCCATATGGCCAACAACAATCACATGTTCGACCTTGCCGGGGCGGAGGCCATCGTACAGGATGTCTCCAAAGGTGGCCGATTACTGAAGGAGGCTTGGCTGTCGGATGAACATTCAATTAATCGCCACATAGATTTACTGCCTGCTTATCAGGCACTAAGGAAGTGGGAACAACAATGCAACAACCCACAGCGAGTACAACGGGTACAGCCTATGCAAGACCAGAACCGCTGTCTCATACAACAGCAAAGAAATATGACTGGTAAAAGGGGAGAAATCCCCAGCACAATTCATACAGGAGTCAATGATGGGAAGCGGAGTGCCACACTCACAACAAAGGATGGCCACAAGACAGGATGCACTGGGGGATCATCCTACAGTAAAGTATACCCAGATACCCCCCAAAACAGGCAAAGAGAGCTGCAATAAGAGAGGCGGTGATCCCTGAACTTACAAATATACAAATGGATGCAAGACTATTAAAAGTAATACGGTCAGCTAGGGCGGGCAGACCAGTAATGCATTCTATGAGCAGAGCACATAAACTGCCAGTCTTATGAGCAGGCTTTCAAACCTCTGGCATTCTACTCTGATGACGTTGGCAGTTAGCCGATGAAAGCTAAGTTTATCAAACAGTTGTTAGTTTATTAAACAGTTGTTTTTATTTATCCCGGTGTTTGACTACCTCTCTCAAAATATATATAAAAGGAAGTTAAAAGGAAGAAACAGCTAAGACCACACATTGCTCCTCGAAGTACAAAGCTGAAAGCACCAGCCTGAAGATGACGAATGGGACTTCGTCGAAACGTCGCCAAGACACTTCCAATTTTACGTGGGAGAAAACCCGAACAATCAAAGACCTACATACAAATACCCGCGAAAACCTCAGAATATATATATATATATATATATATATATATATATATATATATATATATATAGGTCTTTGGTTGTTCGGGTTTTCTCCCGCGTAAAATTGGAACAAATACCCGCGAAAACCTCAGAAAACAAATATACACACACACACACACACACACACACACACACACACACACACACATATCCTTAATAACATTAAAAATGCAAATCCTGGACATACACATATCAATAAAATATAGAAAAAAATGAACACCAGGATAAAAGTAAAACAAACCTGTTTAATACAAACAAGTTTGTAAATAAAAGAGTTACCAAACCCCCTAATCACCTACCATTCCAACTCTGATGATGTCGGCAGTTGGGCCGATGAAAGCTTGGTAACTCTTTTATTTACAAACTTGTTTGTATTATTTATTTATTATTTATGAGACTTATATATCGCTTTAAGTGCAAGCACTCTCTAAGTGGTGTACACCAGTAAGCAATGTATTTATATATATATATATTTACATTGCCCCCAACAATCTGGGTCCTCATTTTACCTACCCCGGAAGGATGGAAGGCTGAGTCAACCTTGAGCCGGTGAGATTTGAACCGCTGACCTGCTGAACACAGTCAGCTAAAGTGGCCTGCAGTTTTCTTTTACTTCTATCCTGGTGTTCGTTTTTTCTATATTTTATTGATACACACACACACACACACACACACACACACACACGGTATGTCATTAATCTAACTCTATGTGCATGTACCACTATGTACATGTGAAAAAAAAAGGTTCCTTGGGAAATGAAAAACACAATCCTACTACTCAAATGCAGCAATTCAGTACCCACGGGAAATGTGTTTTTTTGTCATAATTTATTGATCCTATGGAAGATATTTAACATCTCTAATCTTAAAATTAAACCAGAGGGATTCTGTAGAAGCCTTATGGGATTTAGCCTAAAAGTATTCTGATTGTTTAATCATGACTTACTTAAACTCACTGCTTTCAATATATCTATTCCAAATATAAGTACGCCTAAAATGAACTCTAGATTTATATTAGTTATGCATTCAAATAAATGAAATGCTGAAGTCATTAATAATTTTCAGTATCTCAGTAGATTTAACAAAAAAGTGCATTACATGTGCCAATAAAATGTTATTACTATATTTGAAAATGAATTTACAAACTACTTTTTCTTTCATTTCTAAATTTTGGAAATATATTTTTTAAAAACTGGATAGTTACCTGTTGTTTAATAAGATGTTAGAACATTTAATATCTCGATGTAAGAAATTCTTCTTATGGCAGTAATCTAAGCCTTCCATCAATTGCCTCATGAAAGATTTAATATGACTTTCATCAAAATGAACCAAGCCAGATTCCAGAAGCCCCATGAGATCATGATCCATATATTCAAATACAAGGTAGAAAGCACCTGGAAGAAATTAAGATAATTTATATATCTAGTTTTATTTAAAGAATGTTACTGTTTATTCAGATGATAGCTATAAATCTTGCTTAGCTATCAGAATTCATACAATATTACCACTTTTTTAATATATACACAATGTAATTTCCCTGAATATTTGTAGGAAAAGAGAGGACATGTAATTTTTTACATATCCTTATCTCATCAATCATCTTAAATATTATAGGAAAACATACGAAATATATTCTAATTTAAGAATTTATTTATAAGATCACAAAAAAATGATAAATATAAAAAGAAAAGGAAAATAAGAATTTGTAAGATGGATTGAAGGAAGAAAACTGAGATAAAGTAACAAGGAAAATACAAGTGGTCCTCGAGTTACAACCAGTTATTCAATGACTATTCTAAGTTAACAAAGGGACTGAGCAGTAGTACTTAGGACTAATCCTCAAAATTCTGCCTATCACAATACTCCCATGTTTATGGGATCACAATTTGGGCACTTGGCAACCAGCTCAGACTTACAATTGCATTGCCCCACAATCACATGACCATCATTTGTAATCTTCCCTGCTGGCTTCCCACAAGCAAAGTCAAAAGAAAATGTAGCAGATAAGGCTGCAAGTTGTTCCTGTAAATTGCTTTTGCCATTTTTATTCCTAAGGAGCCTATTACAGAGTATGAGATCCCAGAGTCACATATTCAACTTGCCTGTGATCCCCAACCTACCCATATTTCATAGCAACTGTAAGTGGCATCCATGCATTCCCCTCCATTCCATAATGTTTGCCTGGTGCACTTTGCCTAGGATTCTTGCCTCTTTATAGTTAATGAGGTAGCAACTGGGACTTCTCTCACTAAGCAATACAGTCACATGACATTACATTTTGAATGTACATTCTGGTTCAAACTGCCATAAAAACCCAAGGACTACCTGGAAAATAATATCAAATAGAATAATATTTATGTGTATAGGTAGTCCTCGACTTACAACAGTTAATTTAGTAACTGTTCAAAGTTATAACAGCATGCCCATGATCACATGGTCAAAATTTGGATGCTTGGCAACTGACTCACATTTATGATAGTTGCAGTGTTCTGAAATCAAGTGATCACCTTTTCCATCTTGCTGTCTGACAAGTAAAGTCAGATGCTAGATTAACTTAACAACCATGTTATTAACTTAACAAATGTAGTGATTCACTTAACAACTGTGGCAAGAAAGAACATAAAATAAGGCAAAATTCATTTAACCACGGTCTTGCTTAGCAACAAAAATTCTGGTTTCAATTGTGATCATAAGTTGAGAACCACCTGTATTTATACACACACAGATACATACAGAGCAATAGCAAGATAGTAAACTAAGTAGCCTTTCCTTTATAGTCTCTGAAAAACAAACTGCACAACTATTAAATTTAAAGTTATTGGCTTTAACAAATTTAACAATATTTAACACCTTTGTTAAAGATTTCAGTGGAGATGTCTCCAAATAAAGTATACTGTTTCATCCAAGTCATCTTATACGGCCATCAGGAAAAGAGTGCATCCGAACTTACTACAAATCCTCACATAATACCCAATGTAGCAGATTATGAAATATTGACTCAGTGGTTACCTTAGAAAATCGGCCATAGTGTCTAATCATAAAATATTACTAAATGGCTCTTTTGCAAGTTTCAACAGTATAGCATTATATCCTTTATATTTAAGAGACAGGGTAGCTTACATAGTTGGGGATAGCTAATGGACTGAAATAAACATTCTCTAAAGCACTGGTTCTCAACCTGTGGGTCGGGACCCCATTTGGGGTCGAACGACCATTTCACGGGGGTCGCCAAACAACGCAGTCCGCCATTTTTTCCCCCTTTTCCTTAGCTGTGCTACTCCCTTTTATTCTATTGGCTTTTGAAAGCCAATAGAATAGACTCTCTTGAATAGAGTCTAATTCTATTGGCTTTCAAAAGCTAATAGGAATTGTCCAGGCTGTCTCTGCCCTGCTGAGCCTGCCAAAAGTCCCATTCTGCAAACGGTGCTGCACCAGTTGAGTAGTCCTCGACTTACGACCGGTTGAGTAATCCTCGACTTACGACCGGTTGGGGGTCACGGCATTAAAAAGGTTGAGAACCACTGCTCTAAAGTATAGCTTTCAATTTTAGATCTATCAGTTTGTAAATTAAAATACTAACTATATTATTTTTGTTTAAAAATAAGTAATCCAGTTTCTCTTCAGACAGTATCAATCTTTTGCCTCCATGTGAGGATAAAACAATCATTCACTAAATTGAAAAAACCTCCACTTAAAGTTTTACTTGAACAACATAAGATTTTTCTCATTTTAGAGAGCTATTGCAACATCACCCATTTGTATGTTCAAGTTCCAGAAAAATAGTTCTGAATTTTATTATTATCCCTTGATTAAACATGAATAAATTCTACCTTATACCCCCTACTCTCCAGCCCACTTCCCATCTTGGAATTTATCAAAATCTGGGGAACAGTCCTTATTGCAATATGAAAATAAAAAGATATATGACATTAAGGATTTTTTCAAGTTTGAATAAAAACTCAAAATCTGTAATTACACGTTTCTGTAATTTTAAATTCTGGACATTTTAGTCAAAAATAGTTCAACAAATCCAAACAATATTAGGAAGTAGTAAACTGCTTTCTTCATCAGAATGTATCAAGAAAGATCCAAGATTCTCCCCACTCCAGTCTGTACCATCACCACACATTATTTTAAAGAGAAATGTTTGGGGGACAAATACTAAGCCATCTGAAAACATCACTCTCTTCTCCTATTTTATGAAAGATAAGTCTATGAATTTACTTTTTATCTTAATTTAATATTTTATCTCCTATATTATATTATTCATATATGTATATGTACAGGTAGTCCTCAGTTCATTTAGTGACTGTTGAAAGTTACAACAGCACTGAAAAATGTGACTTATGACCATTCTTCACAGTTACCTTTGCAGCATCCCCATGATTTATATTCGCATACTTGCCAACTGGTTCATATCTATGACTGTTGCTGTCCCAAGTTTATGTGATCCCCTTTTTGCGACCTTCTGACAAGCAAAGTCAATGGGGAAGCCAGATTCGCTTAACAACCAAGTTACTAACTTATCAACTGCAGTGATTCAGTTAACATCTGAGGCACGAAAGGTTGTAAAATGGGGGCAAAACTCACTTAACAAGTGTCTCATTTAACAACAGAAATTTTGGGCTCAATTGTGGTCATAAGTCGAGGACTATCTGTATGCTGATGCTTTACTTAAATTTGTATATCAGTGATTGCATGACCATTATAGATGCCATATGCTAAATACAATGTATATGTATCAATGCATAGAGCCGTGGTGCACAGTGGTTAAAATGCAGTATTGCATGCTAACTCACTGCTCACTGCCAGGAATTCGATCCTGACTGGCTCAAGGTTGAATCAGCCTTCCATCCTTCCGAGGTTGGTAAAATGAGGACCCAATATGCTGATTCTGTAAACTGCCTAGAGAAGGCTGTAAAACACTATATAAGTCTAAGTGCTATTGCTATTGCATAAATAAATGAATGAATGAATAAATAAAAATTTACCACAAGTCCCTGTTCCTTGCCAATCTGTAAACTGCCTAGAGAAGGCTGTAAAGCGCTATATAAATCTAAGTGCTATTGCTATTGCATAAATAAATAAATAAAAATTTACCACAATTCCTTGCTCCTTGCCAATCTTTCATTTAATCAAAAACAGATGCATAAGCCCAACTTAACAACATATGCTTTCAGTGTACACTACTGTATTTTGACAAACCCAAGAATTTCATCAAAATAGTTAAAATAGTCAGAATAAGTTCTTCCAGACAGTAAATCAGCAAATACATACTTAAGAAACTCACTTAAGATAGTCCACTACATGTATTTTGCACCTTTTATTTTCTTTTCTATTTCCATTAAACAGATCTGGGAGGCACAATCAAGATTGTATTCCAACTTCAGAGTACTCTGTTGTAAACATGTGTATGAAAAAGAAACAAGCCATAGCAAACTTCAGGTTTGCACAGTCCTATCCTCCTCCTTCCAGATGGCCAAGAGGAGACAATTGGAAGCTTTCACTTCCATTCTTAATTAACAACTGTTCTGGGTCTGGAAAATAAAATACAATTGATTTTAACCAAAATTATTTAAACGTACACAGATTTCCTATGATAGAATACTTGAAACGCTCTGAGTTTTTTTATCTGAAACATACAACACACAAGGCACTCAAGTTCTACTGATTATATTTTGACTGGTATGAAACAAGTATATTAGCACAGATAGCATAGCAAATTACAGTTAATAAAAAGTAGATATGTGTAAAACATTTTTAACTCTAACAATAGTTTTTTTTTTTTTTAAGAAACACTTTTGTTCAAAAAGATTTGAACTGCTCCAGATAAGGAGAGGTTGGGAGATTGCCTCCTCTCATGAGGAAACCACAAGATAGGAGTCAACTTTTGGGTTTGACTGCTAGGAGATAAGAAAAGACAAAAAGCTTTCAGTTGCATCAGAACTTTTATGGATACTTGCATTATCTTTTACAATTGTTAAAATGTCTAATATTTTTTTTAAAAAAAACATTTGATTTCCAATTGCTTTCCAATTTTTAACAAACTTTTTAATGTCATAGATCAATGAATCTCTTTAATTGGGATAAGAAGGGGGAAAATAATCAATTTTCAATATCCAAGATATTTCAATAATCAATATCCAAGATATTAGAAATGCAATCAGAAGTAATGGAGAGATAAAGGAATCATACATTTATGATTGTTTTCTCATGCCCCAAACTATCAAGATGCAATCATTTAAGAGTTTGGAATAACAAAGAAATTAATTGTGCTTATTAAAATGCAATATTAATATGTCACAGGCAAAAACCTCTCATAATTTTACAATATGTATGCAATTTCTAATTCACAATTTCTTTAAAAGAGCTATGAAAAATTTAAGTAAAAGCA